GTCATCCCATCCTTCGAGTTATCCAGCTCCTCCTTTACAAGAGGTTCATCGTTCGTCAACCCTGTCTCCCTCGTCAGATGGTATGGCGATATCTGATGGTAGCGTCGATGCTGTAGGCATGCCTCAACTACTTGTCTGGATTGCTGATAGTCTGCGATTACAGCGTAGTACCTCATCGGCGGATTTTTTATCCAGTTTTGACATGAAGCCAGGTGATTTTGGGTCTATCATGTTCTCGCCTTGACCGTGTATTACTCAATTGGCAGCGTCGCTGGACTAGGCCTTCGGTAACCTCAGGAAGGTAAAGGATGGGTTCGCAGCTCCCCGCTTCAACTTAGCATCCGCTCATGTCCATGGTTTCTCTACACTTATCGTCTCCCCTCTGGGGAATGATGATGTTTCTTTGCTTGGGACTAAACAGAAGGTTTTCTCGCCGTTCCCTGTCGAGGATCGTGAGCTGTTACATTTGGATGGTGTCATACGGAAGACTATGGCTCCACTCAACATGGTGTTGACGACTACCGAAGCAGTGGCTATGTCGGTTGCACATGCTACATCCCATCAAGAAGCGTATATTCGGGCAGCTATGGTCTTATTGCAAGAGCAATTCCAGACCATTCTAGATCAGTTAGCTCACTTCTTTTCGTACATCACAGCTGTACATCACAGGGGGCCTTTGAACTTATCCTCTTGGGAGGATCGGTTCCGTACTGATCTTTTTCGGCAGCCATGGTCTGGCAGGTCTTTGTTTAACGGAGCTGTTAGAGATGTCGCTAACAGAGTGGGCCAGGATGCTCATTTGCAAGTGTCAGTGGAATTGTTGAAGTTCCAGCGCTTGCAAGTGGTGGAATCGTTGCGCCAACGAAGGCCAGCCCGTTATGTTCCTGTGAATCCTGATCTCCGTGCAAGTTCTGCTGCTTCCTTTCGTGGGAGAGGCTCCGGTGACAGAGGACGACTCAACCGTCAACGTCGGGCGTCCACTACTTCATGATCAGCTTCCGTGTTCGACCAGCCCACTTCGCAAAGACCTGCTAAACAGTGACTTGAGGACATTGGACGGCGCCTTGGTTCTTCCACCTCCAGTCGTGCCAATTCTGACGTCTCCAGTAGGCGGTCGGCTTGGGTCTTATGCTCCCAACTGGACCATCTTGGAAGACCCCTTCGTCCTCTCCCTGTTGTCCACGGGTTTTCAGCTGCCACTCATAGGGGATCCTCCCCTCACTTTGCTTCCAGAGCGCAGAACGTATCCCGCTCGACAGATGGCTGTTCTGCATTCCACAATCAATACCTTACTAGAGAAACTTGCGATCGAATCCCTGGGTCCGGCTCCTACCGCCCCGGGGTTCTATTCTCCAATCTTTCTGGTCCCCAAGAAGGATTCGGACAAGCTGAGGTTAATCTTCAACATGAAGGTGTTCAACAAGAGGTTTCTGCAGCCTCCGCCCAGCTCATTGCAAGTTCCTTCGGTTTGTCTTCGAGGGCACCCACTATCAGTGGCGTGTCCTCCCGTTTGGAATTTCTTCGGCCCCGTGGCTCTTCACACGGGTAACGAAGCCTTTCACCAGCTTCCTTCACCGCAAGGGGATCGTGTTCGAAGCCTACATCGATGACTGCATTCAGGCACAGAACGATCAGGCCCTTCTGCTTCGTCACATGCAGTTTGCGATATGGCTTCTTCGCCAATTAGGCTGGTTAATCAATCTGCAGAAATCGGAACTAGTCCCTACGCGCCGTCTCCAATTCATTGGAGCAGTATTCGACACAGAAGTCGACAAACTCTTTGTCCCGAGGGATAGTTTCGTCAAGATACAGCGATTGGTTTCGTTGGCATTGGCGCAACCCAGGACGCTTCGTCAGTGGCAGGAGCTCCTGGGCCTCTTAATGTCGGCTCAGGCGTTGACCCTCAGGGGTCAACTACAACTTCGTCCCTTGCAGTTCTTTCTAGCGCCTTACATCAGAGTGGGAGATCCCGTTGCCTTGATCACTCTACCTCTGCAGCTCCATCCCCATCTCCGGTAGTGGATGGAAGAATTGAATGTTTGCGACGGAGTTTGTTTAGGGCCGTTTGTTCCGTCTCACCACCTGCAATCAGTCACTGGCAGGATGTCCCCAGAGCAACGTCCCTCATGATCCGATCGGACAACGCAGCGGTGGTTTGGCATATCAACAGGATAGGGTCCACGGGGTCTACTCAACTGCTACAGTGGACCCAACGGTTCTTCGATCTGGTGGACAGTCTCCACATCATGGTACGAGCCAATCACATTCCGGGGGTGAAGAATGTCATCGCCGATTCTCTGTCTCGACCGAGTCGTCCCTCTCCAACGGAATAGAAATTGCATCCTCAGGTGTTCCAGACGTTTTGCCTACCGTTGACGCTGCCGACAGTAGATCTCTTGGCCACCCGCTTCAACCATCAGCTGCCTCGGTTTGTGTCACCGATTCCGAATCTTCTGGCTTGGGACCTCGATGCTCTAGCCATTCCATGGGACAACCTGAACGCTTACGCATTCCCGCATTCCCGCCAGTGGCCCTTCTTCCTCGCATATTAGTGAAGCTACGCTCAACTCAGAAGATAACTCTGCTTTTGGTCGCGCCCTATTGGCCGTCCAGAAGCTGGTTCGTAAACCTCCAAGACCTAGCCGAACCAGATCCCGTGCCTCTTCACGTTCGACCCGATCTACTGGTTCATCCGCACTCCGACCAGCTCCATTGGTCTCCATTGACGCTCCATCTGCACGCTTACGATCTTCATCATCGGTCATTAACGGCTAAGGGCTATTCTAAAGCGCAGCTACTGCCATTACCACAGCGCATCGTGACTTCTATGAGGTCACTACGATGACAAATGGAAGAACTTCTCGAAGCGTATTGCAGGAAGAAGGGCATCTTATCCCCCACTACGGCATCCCCGCAGATGGTGGCAGAGTACATTCAGCATCTCCGAACCTCCAGAAAACTCAAAGGTTCTACGCTATCTACCTATTTGGCGGCTCTTAACACAGTTATTGCAGACTGCAACTCCAGTCTCTCCTCCGGTCTTACAAACTGGCTGACCAATCTCGGAAGTTCTGGCCTCCAGCTTGGGATCTTTCCGTTGTACTTGCTCATCTCACGTAAGCTGATTATGAACCTTTGGAGGAGAAAGATTTCGAACATGTCTCCTTTAAGACCTTCTTTTTATTGGCCTTGGCTACGGCGGCTCGTATTTCTGAGTTGCATGCTCTGGATGCCTCTCGGGTACGGTTTGAAAGGTCTAGACATGCGAAAGTTTTCCTTGGTTTGCGGTGGGATTTCCTTGCCAAGAATCAGTTACCAGGTCAGCTGGATCGCACATTCACGATTCCGCCGCTGTCCACTATTTTGGGCCCAGACGACACTGAGGCTCCGTCCTTATGCCCGGTGCGTATATTATGGATTTACCTAACTGCCTCACAGGATCTCCGCAGATTGCATAAGAGATTGTTCATTCCATTGTCTACTGCCTCCACCTCGGAAGTCTCCCATACTACCTTGGCGTTTTGGATGAGAACTACGATCCTGCGTGCCTATGCCTTTGCTGAACTGCCTCCACTGTCAACGGCGAAGCCCCATGAGACGCGTGCTCTTGCTTCCACCATGGCTCTTCACAGAAATTGTTCCCTGCAGTCCATCATGGAGGGCTGTTTTGGGCGAACAGATACGGTGTTTGCTTCACACTACCTGAGGGACCTCTCAGTTACAGACGTGGAAGGTCTTCATCAGTTAGGCCCCCTGGTCCTGGCGCAGCAGTTGTCATCGGCTCGTGTTCGCAGATGAAGCAATCCTGCTTGGTCGGTTTTGCTCTGTACATAATAAAAGATGTTATCCATGTCTTAGTACTTTTTTCCGTTGGGTTTAGATTATTCTCTCCTATGGAAGTAGGGTGTGTCTGCACAGTCATTAGTTATGACTTGATAGACTGTGAGGCCAGTCTTGTGCTACATACAGAGATGATCGACACCGGCTTACTGACCTCTCACGCCTGAGCAATTACGCCAGTGAAGTGTTGATTTCGATTACCTACATGGTTTTCGAGCCGCTCTGCTCCTGAGTCCTTTCTCACCTTTGGTACGTTAGGGAGATTGGTACTGAACGTTAAACTAGTTGAGCATCCGAACTATTCCCTCTTTCACCGCCTTCCAGCGCAGGTCTGTGGGGGTAGTTTCGAGGCAGGACTGGCCAGATTAAGGTCCTCGACTTTAATTCACTGGGGTCACCCTGATAAACCGTGGGGCGGGTGGGGGCCTACTTTACCAAACTGCGCCCTTTGCTTGCAAAAGTTGCGGCCGAAAACCACATTAATTCGGGAGCACCAACTCCCTAGAGTTTTTGTGCTGTGTAAGCCAAGGGGTTACATGAAGAAACCCATCTCAAGTTGGAGTTTTGCATATCGGGAGTTGGTGCTTTCTCCTGGCCTCCTTGGGTTATGCGTTTTTCCTGGTGGTAGTAACGGGGTAATCTGCGACCGCCTACCAACCGTTGGATTGTGCATAAGTTTAAAAATTTGTAAATTTTATTATAAATTGTATATTTATATACTTATCCTATCTCATGCGATAGGACCCACCCGACCTGCCCCACATCACAGACTACTAGAAGCTCCAAGACGAGAATGACAGGCACAGGTAGTCACATGATCATCTGAACGAGCGGCACGCTTACAGAGATGATTGACAGGTGTTGATGTCTGAGTGAGGGCAGAGGTCAGGGCGGGTCAGAGGCCAGCAAGATTTGATTCAACTTAGCCTACAGCACGTTTCCACACATGGTCGTAGAAGAAGAGAGAGGTGCATACAGTGAGATAGGATAAGTATATAAATATACAATTTATAAAAAAATTTACAATTTCTTTAATACCATTTTTGCATATTTCATACACTATGACATTCATGTCAAGGTCAAAGTCAGTCTTTAAAATATGTGTGTGTTTGAACAACTAAAGAGCAAGATATCAAGAGAGGTTTACTGGTCATGTTTTGTTGACATTTAACTTCATCTTAAACTTTCATTACTTTTTAAGTTTGATTTGATAATTTACGGCAAGGGATTATGTCACCTTAGCGACAATGCTTGTTACAACAACCTTTGCACCTCCACTATTACCCAAAAGCCTGAATGAACATGGGGCCACCTACTTGTCAAAAGAGGGACTTTGCACTTGTTAAATGTTTTAGTGTCAAGTAGGTTAATCTGGTCTTCAAGAACCCAGAAAATAAATCTGAACAAGATAGTTCTTGATGCCCATAATTTGGCAGTAATTGTATCAATTATTGTGTCATGACTGGACGTTGTGTCATGCTTTACAAATGTAGTATTGTGTTGTGTCAGTGTTTTTTTTTTCATGCTTGAATGAATGTTGTCCAGCCATTGTATCATGCTTGTGACTGTAACATGCTTCAGTGATTGTGTCATCCAGTGTTTCTGTCATGCCCTAGTGATTGTGTCATGTGTCAATATTTGGTTGTGTCTCAGGGAGAGAGAGTATGACCTTCTGGAGCTGTGGAAGTCTACAAATATGTCCTTCAACACTGTGACTTCCATGTATATGGCCAGCATGGACCGGTACATTGTCGACAGATATCTGCTGATACCGGACCATGCGGAGGACGAGGAACCCCCAGGTCTTCTGGTCAGTGTTGCTGTATTACAGTGGGACTATATAGTGATATTATTCATTATGGATAATAGTTATTTCAAAATGACTTGCTTGTGGAAATGCATGCTCATCAAATCTGTGCTCTGACTGATCGTGTTGATTGTAGTGACTATGAGTGTATGTACAAGGTAAGAACTCATTTGTTGTGCTTCAGTGACATTGAGTTTACTCTTGGTATGTCATGCTTCAGATGCTGGACGTTTTAACAGATTTATCCAATTTCCTCAGCCTGGCAGCATGTGTAAATGGGAGGGAAATTGTCATCCGGCGACACCTCAACATACTGGTCAGTGTTAACCTTGCATAGATTGTCATAAACCTATCAACATATGTCCATATTTGGCTAAACCTTGTAGTTTTTGTGGATTGAGAGACACTTATAAGGGTTTCAAATGAGAATTTGCCCAGGACAGGTGTCACGTGAATTTAGATTTTTTCACCAAAGCACTCCTGGTGAGTATAAATAAATGATAAATAACAAAAAAAACATGTCATGAAGTTGTAACACAGTGCATGAAGAAAGATGTAAACTGTAGGCATTGTGGATTTCAACCCTTTAACTGGAGATATGCTCTGTAGTTTGAGAACGTACAGGGCTCCTGTGATGTGAGACAGTCTACCCTTGTTGTTTCAGGAGAATGTTAAGGGGAAAAAAGGCATGTCACATGATAAAAACATTGAAGAGACCATGGACACACAGCTATCCTTAGCCAATCTCTTGGTGGACATTGGCCGCTATGAAGAAGGCGTACAGCTGCATAGCAGTGTCAGGGACTACTGTCAAAGGTGAAGGTTACTAATTGCTTGAGTATGTTTAATGTTACTACAATTAAAATGGTTGTTTTGTTGACATTTCATGATGATGACTACAGGTCCTGGTGAACTGTGGCACTATTTTACTAATTTTACCATTTAGCTCCGTTTTTGCATATGTGGATTCAATAGATGCAAAATGTCCTTGCATTAATTATTTTCTCACCTCTGAAATACTACCAATTTTTCCTTATCCTGACTCATGATCTTTTGCTTATCTCCTTCTTCTATGGGAATGTTAGTGGAACACTTCAATCCCTGTAGTTCCCTAAAGCGGACGTAAAAGTTCCCTCAAGCACGAGTTACCTCCCTTTTCCCATGCAAACAGTCATGTGACCGGCCATACTTCCCACTCTCTCCTTCATCGCCCAAGCAGATGGTCCAGTATACGGCATTATATCCTTTATATTTAGATCCTTTTATCCAAATTGCACTGTGTATGGTTTTCGGTTATAACTAGCTTGCATTATATGTGAAATATTTGAAGAAACTATTTGTAATTTGTGACTTATTTCATCGTTATGTAGTTGTTTACATTTGATGAAATCTTGCAGTGTTTGCAGGTTCTGGCTATCAGTGGCTGATCCTCACTCCCAATGCCCATCATGCATTAATCCATGTTCTTCCACCTTGCGTTGTAGATATTGCATTGATTTATCAAATTTGCAATCTATAGTTACCTGGCCAACCAGACAGACAGTTCCACGTCCCAGCGCTATCTACGATCCTCAGACCAGAGGGCACCCAGGACTTATCCTTGTGTCCTGTCAGAGCCCTGAAGATATATCTTCAAAAAGACTAAAACAAGGAGAAGAAAATTCAAGTGCCTTTTCATCCCCTTGTCAGCAGAGACAACCGTAGAAGTCTCAAAGACGACAATATCATTTTGGATAAGAGCTGACAAAGCAGCAGGACTACAACCTCCAAGAGCTTCCAACCTACACGAAGTCAGAGCACTGGCGTCCACACTCGCTTTGCACGGAAGCTGCTCGATATCATCTGTAATAGAGGGCTGCTTTTGGAAGTCGGACACAGTGTTTGCCAATCACTACCTCAGAGACATCGCCACTGAAGACTCCGGCATTCACCAGTTTGGGCCACTTGTTGTAGCACAACAACTAACGGTTCCACAAAGACGCTGAGTTGGAAATCTCACCCTTTATCACGTTGACTTTTTGATAACCTTCACTCTGGAGAGTTTTGGTTGAGAGTCCATGCGCACCCTCTAGAACAGACTAGCATGAGTAATTAAGACTCTGTATGGGTAACGATCTTACCTGTCCGCTAAGGGGTCGCAACTCATTTATGGTAACGATCTTATCATAATCTATGAGTTGTTTATAGATAACTAGTAAGAAGAAGATACTAGTACAGTCGAACCCCGTTTATCAGGACATTTTGGTTACACTCGAAAATCATCCGGATAGCGAGGCATCCAGATAACTGGATCAAACAAGCAAAACGTATTGACAATGTATATTGGTAATTTATTCATGTATGTATATCAATAAGTCAATAGTCAAAACATATAATCATAACACGTAAATGGATACCAATAAACTTTCTTTCAGCACGTTGATTCACGTTATACATTTTACATTGTATATCTTACTTGACTCGATATCACATGTAGCACATTATTTCCTTAAAAAGTCTATGATAGATGTCTGCTTCCTTGGTTTTATTTCTTCAAGTCCATCAATAAATTCACTGAACCTTCATCGCCACAACTGAAGTGACATGTGTCTCTAGTGTTTTGATGGGTAAGTAAGTCCGGCTAAGCGAGTACAATTACTGAAGGCAAGTTTTGTTTCACCTAAATATATATCGTCCGGAAGGCGGGGTTTCCGGATATACAGGGTCCAAGTAAACGGGGTTCGACTGTATATCTAAAATCCACATGAATCTACGAGATTCACTTCTCTTAGAGAAGTATAACTCTCTAGTGTTTTGATGGGTAAGTAATCACTTCACATTTAACGCCTGCCGAGAGATTAACACGCGTCCTTAGTGTTTTGATGGGTAATTAATCAATTCACATCAAATGCCTGCCGAGAGATTAACAATGAATACAATACTGACGTGAAACATACACATGTACATGTGCCCAGATCTTTCCGTCCGGATAACTGGGATCATTTTTAAATGGAAATCTACGGGAATGGTTTGAAACTTCTCCGTCCGGGTCCGGATGCGTGGAGTCTGGCTAAGCGAGTACAATTACTGAAGGAAAGTTTTGTTTCACCTAAATATATATCGTCCGGAAGGCGGGGTTTCCGGATATACGGGGTCCGAGTAAACGGGGTTCGACTGTATATCTAAAATCCACATGAATCTACAAGATTCACTTCTCTTAGAGAAGTATGACAAGATGTGGTCCCCCCAAGTTGACAGGCAGAAGTTGAAAGAATAGGATCCAGGAAGTGCTGTTACGCAGTTCCCATGGGGGGTGGGGGGGTACAGGACGTATCTAAGGACAGCTGATGAATCCACGAAGTGGCCTGACCCACCACCGATTCCATCAGATTCTGGAAGCAAATAAGCATGAGTCAGGATAAGGAAAAATATGTAATTTCTTAAGTAAAATTGATATTTTATACTTATCCTGACTCATTATGTCAAGCCCTCCCAACCTCACCGCAGAAGACACTTCGGGTTTCCCAGCAAACCCAGGTGCATGGGCTTATTCAGGAGAGAGTGATAAGCATGGCAGATCACATGACTGTTTTAGCGGAAAAAGGGAGGCAACTCATGGGTGAGCAGGGCTCCAGATAACTTTTGGGGGTGCGAGTGTACTTACACATCATATTGCAAGTGGAGGTGTACTGAGAAGTTTGAAGGAGTACTGACATGTTTTTGTGTGAGCGAGTTGGTGATGTGGTTTGTCTGGACGATTCATCAATCACTATTTCCAACCATGTATTTGTATTTGAAGAAGCGTGAGAAATAACTGAGCGAACGTGTGATATGTCAGGTCCGACTGGATATAAATAGGAACAGTTTTTAGCCAATCGAAAAATAGTGACGCATATCGTTGCATGGCAACGCAAGGGGTTCCTACTGTCGGGGTTTCCTCATGTGTCAAATCGTGTTTCGCAAAAGAAACTTGACAAGTATTTATCCGAAATAGATTTCCATTTGCACGATAAGCACAGAAATTATATGTTAGACGTACGAAAGTATTTATGTCCGTACACGATACGCTTGAAATCTTATATTATGTCGTACTTAATTGATTTTGAGGCGTACATTACGCCTGTACGCCCCTTATCTGTAGCCCTGGGTGAGTGAACTTTTACGTCCTCTTCAAGGAACTAGAAGGGATTCAAGTGTTCCACTACCATTCGCATAGAAGAAAGAGATAAGCCAATAACCATGAGTCAGGATAAGTATGAAATATCAATTTTACATAAAAAATTACATAATAATAGCCTAATACTGTAAACATAGGCATATTTCACTCCCCCCATTTTACTCTTGTCATACCAGACTCCACCCTTATATTCTTGTCATACCAGACCCAACCCTTATACTCTTGTCATACCTGACTCCACCCTTATACTCTTGTCATACCAGACTCCACCCTTATACTCTTGTCGTACCAGACTCCACCCTTATACTCTTGTTATACCTGACTCCACCCTTATACCATTATCATACCAAACTCCACCAATATACTCTTGTCATTCCAGACTCCACCCTTATCCTCTTGTCATACCAGATTCCACCCTTATACTCTTGTTTTACCAGACTTGAATCACCAATAGCAGCAAAGAACTTCAAATCAGCTCTTAAGACATATCTCTATCTTAATTTTGTACAGTGTTACTTAGCATCAAACTGATGGGGTATTTTTGCACTGTAGTAATGCATTATTATCATACTGGACTCCACCTTTATACTTTATATTCATACTGATTACCTGTTAAATGGGCTATTGCTGAAAGGGGCTCTTCAGTTAGATGTATATAGTTGACTTTTATGTTAAAAGAATTCATTTTTATGTTTATCCCACAGAATGCTGGATGAAAGAAATGACCAAGAGACTTATGAAGTACTTCAGCGTCTTCTTTCAGCGGTATTGGTATGGCTTACTTGTTACAAGGGATGACAGAAAAGGTAGGACAGCAGCTGTTACATCATATCCTCTCATGATTAAAAAGTTCATAAAATCAAAATGGCAAGATACATTTTGTTCATTCCAAACATACCAGTAGCCATAACCACATTTAAATAATGTTATCTTGAATTTTTTTAACCTTATTGTGAGATAATGCTTACACAATACTACTTTGCTGAAAACTGACTATTGACCATGGGTTTACTGCTGTGCTTCAGTGACATTGGGTTTACTGTGGGTATGTCATGCTTCAGTTGTTGGAAGTTTTAACAGAATTATCCAATTCTGCAAGTAGGAATAGCACAAAATGAACTTGCTAGACATGATAATGTTCATCAAGAGATAATATCATCTCTTTTGGAGACATTTTCTTCTTGTAACACTCATTTTTCGCACCTTCTGTGGGTTTCAATTCAAACAATCCCAATGAAATTATCAGTTTGAACAACAGGTTTTGGTTTGCCGATTACTTTTTACTAACATCTAAGTATCATATTCATCATTTATGTTTCTCTTTTATATTAAAATTGTCATTATTTTGACTCCTAGGGGAAACCCCTAGTTTCATCATTGTTATGAGGAGTGTTGTACATTGTGCAACAATGTTTCACTAGTTATACTTGTACCTGTAGGTTCAGTAAGGGGCAGTTGTGTGCTTTAGACTAGGAGAAACTTATTCCAGATTCTTCGGCCTTAGAGAGGCATATAAGAACAAGCAGAAGATGTAGAGTGTCAGAAAACACTGTAGGATCTTGGGATGAAGAACTTGCCCAATATTCCACTTGACTTTTAGAAGTCTGTTCTGTAACCACCAACTAAGAGTTTATGTTCCTCTGAATTGCCATGTAATTCAGAGCTTGAGTGATATGACTGTGTTAAGTTTGTATCCTATTTTTAATAAGAGAATCATCTAAGATGAGTAGGTATAGCTGGAAATGATGATGTCTCAGACCTTTTGTGCATCTCTTTGCCTCTGAACAAGTTTCATGGCCTCAGAAAGCCTCCTATCATCATACAGACTCACAATGTCATTATGCTATCAGCTTCTTGCAGTCTCACACTTCACACAATGAATTAGTAGCACCCATTAGCTTTTCCTGGAATTAAACAAAAGGCAGTGTACATGTTATACCATCTTAGTAATTGCTCTGCGAACCCACGTGCGCTTATATATGCTGGTCTTGACTAACCCTTTGTCTCTGAATATACTTAATTTTGATTGTAATAAATAAACCCATTTAAATTGAAAAGGAGCCCCAGGGACACCAGAGATTCAGAACCTGGAGAAATGTAGACTTGCTTCATTTAGGGCTTTAGCATTGCAGGGAGGACTAGGCTATCGGGAAAATGATATGGTTCAGGGACTGTGAGACAGCCAGTATACGGATGGGTAAATTTCTTGGCTAGAGTGCACTTTACCGAGTGCAGCCGATGGGGAGCAGTTATCACACAATAGTGCTACTGCACTCATGCACTGTCTCGCTATATCGCGATAATTGCTTCGTCTCCCTTCGCTGCCAGAATACGATCCTTCGGGTTAGGATTAGGGTTTAGGGTTAGGGTATGGCAGCCTTAGGGAGCTGACACATCTTTAGAGGAAACGATCCGTGAATGGGTAGGACTCATATGATTTTTGCAAATAAGCGGGAGACAGGGGAATATGTCATCTTTTGATGATTCATTACTGTCCGCCATAAAATAGAACCAATATATAGGACCACATTTCCTCCATCCGTCACTAGTACCTCATATCCAGACAGGGTTAGACATGACAAAGACCTGTATGCATGTAGCATCTTCTGTATAGTGTTAAGGGATGCAGGCTGAGCATATTGTGTGAGGATCACGATTGAAAGCATATGGTTTTCATATAGTACATGTTTTCATGACAGAAATGGTGGTTGATGGTGGAAAAATATATTGCTAATTAACTTCCAGATTTGAAAAATGTATTTCATGTGATATGTCTAATTTAGAATAATTTAATTTGAGCCATATATTTAGAATGAAACAATTTTGATGTGTTGACAATTATTATAGCAATTGTCTTGTAAGAGTCAGGTTAAGTATAAAATAATACATTTACCATATCCCTACTCTTAAATGCATGCAGCATTATTTCATGAAACCCCTTGAATTGTCTCATTTGAAGTCATTTCCCAAATGAATGTATAGTTTATATGAAATAAAAACAAGTTGAAGTAGTTTCAGTCTCTTTTAATGACTGACAAGAAACTTGAAACCCAGATCAAGTAAACAGTTAAAATATACACTCAATGAAGCTGCAAGTCTGCACCCAAACATCCTGCATTTTATTACTAAACTATCGATAGTCTATCGATGCATCAATAGTTTTTGTTTCTACCATCGATTAATTGCTATCAAAGACTCAACAACTGCAATCCATTGATAGTTTTATGCATCGTTACAGCCCTACTCTACAGCCCCTTCCCTTATCGTAAATGTCCAGCCCCTCACACTGTATTGAAAACATTATTTAGGACACAAAGATGCAAAGCCCAATCATTATATTGGTGGTATATTGTGATATTATCTGTCTCTTTTATTTGTAGGCCTTTGAAGCTTACAATAAATCTGAGGAATTATTCAGAAAGTGGAAAAGACAGAGCGGTGTCTTAACCTGCAAGCAAAACTTGGGACTATTGACCATGAATCAAGAGAAATATGAGGAGGCCATTCAAATATATGAAGACTGCATGAAGGTAAGCTCTAACATTCTATGTTACAAAACTATAATCTATGTATTTTTATCCTGACTCATGATCTTTTGCTTATCTCCCTCTTCTATGCGATTGGTAGTGGAACACTTGAATCCTTTGTAGTTCCCTGAAGCGGACGTAAAAATACACTCATCCACGAGTTACCTCCCTTTTCCCGTGCAAACAGTCATGTGATCAGCCTTACTTGTCACTCTCTCCCTTTTCACCCAAGTGGATGGTTTGGCGAGCACTGAAGTCCCGTATACGGCATATATCCTTTATATTTAGATCCTTTTTATTGAAATTATGCTGTGTATGGTATTTGGCTATAACTAGTTTTGTATTATATGTACAAATTTTGAAGAAATTATCTGTATTTTGTGACATATTTCATCGTAATGTAACTTGTTTACATTTCATGAAATCTTGCAGTGTTTGCAGGTACCGGCTATCAGTGGCTGATCCTCACCCCCAATGCCCATCATGCATTAAGCCATGTTCTTCCACCTTGCGTTGTACGTATTGCATTGGTTTATCAAATTTACAATTTAATCAGTATTTGTCTTATATCTATAGACGTGCCATGGATCGGGTGAGGAAGTCATCACAAGTCACGTTTGATAAACCTGGAGATCAAGCCGGTAACCGTATGTTGTGTGCTACTGCAGAAATACATAATTATAGTGCTATGTCAAGTACGTTGGAGGGGCAGTCGTCTGTTATGGGGTTAAAGAAAAGTTCTGCTACGACGGAGTTGACACCCTCTCAGAGTAAGAAGAAGGCTTCTTCATCATTCACAATGCAGAAGAGGGCATCTGTAACTAGATCAGCTTCGAAATCTACGCGACCTAGCAAGTCAACTCATCAGAGGTCGTTCAACGAGGAGATCATCTTACCTCACGAAGCGGACGTGTTTGATGAACCACCGTTACTTCTACCTGAAGTACCTATTAGATCGGCGACGCAGTCAACCTCCACGACTACTAGATCGTCTCCGGGAACCACAACAGCGGGCCAGCTGTTTGACGACCAACCACCAACTTCTCAACATAGCGAAGTTGAAGCACCTCAGTGTTTCGCGAATGCTTCATCGACACCACTTCAGTTCCAGACAACGCAGAACTTCGAATTAGGCGAATTTATGAGGCAATTTACTTCCCAAATGATGGAGCGACGGTTTGATGAGGAAGCGAAGTTCGAGAAGGGATGATTCAAGAGACAGACGTTCGAGAAGGGATAGATAACGAAAGAGAAGTTTGAGAAGGGATGGCTCAGGTGATAGAGGTTTGCGAAAGCAAGGTTCGCAGAAGGATGATTCGCGAAGGCGTAGCTCTACAGATCAAGAATTATCTGATGAACAGAGTGACTACGTTTTCCCAGAATCGGAGGTTACAGCTTGGATAGCTAATGGACTCAACTTACAGTCTCCGTCCAAGGATGTGGATGAAGTCTACAGATATAAGATGTGCGACGACGACTTTGACTCAGTTACTATTCCTCCTATTGAACCAATATCCAAGGTGCCTTCAAACCTACGCACGGCTTTTGAGAAAGCTACTAGATCCCTGAACCAGCATCTGCCATCCTTTAATGCAAGGAAATTTCCATTACATCATATGGACCCCTTAATGAGAGCGCCGGACCTAGATGAGAATATGAAGTTAGTCAACGATTCTCGGAACAAGATCTACAAGGTGGAGGATAAAAGGTTGGCCCAACTTGATACTGTGACGAGAAGATCCTTCGTCGGATTAGCGAGATCCAGAGCAATCAATAAAGCATTGATTAACAAGTTCCAGAACCTCAGTTCGGAAGAAGATAGAATGATACTATCAGCTCTGCTCACTCAGAAGAAGGACCAATACTTCATATCGGATCATTTGGCCTCAGCGTCGGCAGGTATCACCTTGATGAGGAGACAAGGTCTCCTGGCATCTTGTTCCTGGAGCGCCAGATTTACCAAATCACTACTTAAAGCTCCGTGGGCCGCCATCTATCTTTGGAGGCGAGATAGATGAAGTAGCTAAGGAAGCTACTCACGATACAAGGGAAGTCATGATCATCAAGTCTATAGATACTCTAGCCAATGTCATTCGTCATACTTCACAGAAGTATAACAGCAAGTTGAAGTATTTCGGTATCCAGAAGGCTAAGGAGAAGAAATACTCCAGCTTCAGAGGCGGCAAAGGATCCTTTCGTCTCCCATCTGGAAACTACAGAGGGAACTCAGGGAGAGGAAGTACTCCCAGAGGATCCAGAGGAGCTAGACGCTGAAATTGGGGTTCGGAACGACTGTAGTCTTCTACCCCCAGCCGTTCCGGTAAAACCATCGACAGTGGGTGGACGTCTACAAAAGTACTGGAAAAATTGGGGAATACTAGAGGACGACTACATCTCACAAGTATTGCGAGAAGGGTACAGAGTGCAGCTCAAGGCCACACCACCATTAACCCTCAGACCGATGGTCTTCAACTATGCAGACAAGCAAGCAGATAAATTACAAGAAGCTATCAACGCCCTGCTAACCAAGGATGCAGTAGAGATAATAGATCAACATCATCTCACACCAGGCTTCTACTCCCCAATTTTTCTAGTACCCAAGAAGAATTCCAAAGAGAAATTCAGGTTGATTTACAACATGCGGAAATTCAATCAGGACTATCTACTGAAACCAGACAGGTTCAGAATGATCCACCTACCTCAACTCAGACTACTCATCCATCCAGCAGATTACATGGCCAGCATAGACCTTCAGGATGCATATCTGCACATCTCCATACATCCGGAATCAAGAAAATATCTACGATTCCTATTCAGAGGTCAGCACTTCCAATGGAACGTCCTTCCGTTTGGAATATCGTCGGCTCCGTGGTTATTCACACGAATAACCAAACCTATAGTTGCCTACCTACATCATCGAGGTCTACACAATGCCTTTTACCTGGACGACGGCATACAGGTTCATCAAAATGCCAATCTACTCAGACATCAGCTGAAGTTGCTCACACAACTAGGATGGCTAGTGAACCTGATGAAGTCAGAGTTGGAACCAAAACAAGATCTTCAATTTCTGGGAATAAGATTCATCACAACGCAGAATCAAATTGTGGTCCCAAAAGATCGTTGGGTCAAGATACAAGCCATGATTCCTCAAGCAGTCATCTCTCCGTTAACACTACGAAGATGGCAGTGTCTACTCGGTCTACTAACCTCAGCGCAGGACTTGACTCGCACGGGAAGATTGCAACTAAGTCCATTGCAACGATTCCTGGCAAAACATCTGGACAGCATCGACCCTATCTCACTACCAGACAATCTCAAAAGGTACCTGCTTTGGTGGACTCACAGGTCGTATGTCGGCAGAAGAACCTATTTACAAGAGCCGGTCTTTGACACACATCTCTACGTAGATGCATCGCTACAGGGATGGGGTGCGCATCTCAACAACCAAGTTGCATCAGGAAAGTGCTCCAAAACGGAACAAGATCTTCACATCAATCTGCTAGAAATAAAAGCTGTGATCAACGCCATACAACTATGGTCCAGTTCGCTGATCAACAGAATGCTGATGGTCCACACGTACAACTCTACAGTGGCATTCTCCATAAATCGGCAAGGATCAACAAGATCACCAAGCCTACTTCAGCTCACATACAACTACAGACGTTTGTCTCTCCAGTACCAGATCCCCAAGCCTGGGCAACAGATGCACGCATACGCATACGCGTTTCCACCCCTGATCTTACTACCGAAGGTACTGCTGAAGATCAGACAGATGCAGGGGCTACAACTAACTTTGGTCGCGCTTTATTGGCCAACGTGAGTCTGGTTCCTAGATCTAATAGAAGATCTCAGAAGTCCAACAATCAAGTTACCAGAATGGCCGAACCTACTCAGACATCTGCACACCAAGCAAGTCCACAGGAACCCAACACTGTTCCAGCTACACTTGTGGACCGTATCAAAACCTGTTTGAAGAATAGAGGATACTCCGCCAGAGCAGTGAAAGCAGTAACCCCAGCGTTATGCAGATCTACTCGCAATTTGCATGACGACAAATGGCTGAAATTCGAGAACTATGCAAGGTGGAAAGGCTTCACAGCTATGGAAGCTTCTTATCCTCAAGTGCCGGAATATCTATGTCATCTTAGACATACAAGACATCTGAAAGGTTCGACATTATCTATGTATCTGACAGCCATCAGTACAGTGGTCACTATGAAGTCTGGCATCAAGTACCAGAATTACTTGCTCTGCTGCGATCTTTTAAACTGGAGGACCAGCAAAAGAATTCAGAACGCCAGCCTGGGATCTGAATGTAATTCATCTCATGAGTGATGCCTACGAACCTCTAGAACAGACTACCTTCGAGCGACTCACACAGAAAACTCTGTTTCTACTTGCCCCAGGCACGGCAGCTCGAATGTCTGAGATACATGCGCTGGACTTTGGACTAGATTCGACACGGGGGCCCCCCCGAGTTATTACGGATGTTGGAAGAATAGGATCTAGGAAATGCCGTTACACAGTTCCCATGGGGGTAGATACAGGACTTATCTAAGGACAGCTGATGAATCCAGGAAGTGGCCTGACCCACCCCTAATCCGTCGGATTCTATAAGCAAAAGATCATGAGTCAGGTTAAGGACGAATATGTAATTTTTAAAGTAAAATTGATATTTTATACTTATCCTGACTCATGAGGATAAGCCCTCCCAAACCTCCCCGCTGGAAACACTTCAGATTTCCTAGTAGATCCAAGTGCATGGGCAGAAAATCAGGAGAGAGTGACAAGTAAGGCTGATCACATGACTGTTTGCACGGGAAAAGGGAGGTAACTCTTGGGTGAGTGTACTTTTACGTCCGCTTTAGGGAACTACAAAGAATTCAAGTGTTCCACTACCATTCGCATAGAAGAGGGAGATAAGCAAAAGATCATGAGTCAGGATAAGTATAAAATATCAATTTTACTTTAAAAATTACAATATCTTACAAACTAATTCATTGGGCATAAAATAGTCCACTAATAGATGGATTTTATTACAACTTACCATATATGAAAGTCAATATAGATACTTGATATTAACAGAACGGATACAAGCTTCATGAAATACAACTTCTATCAGTCGTTGAAATGTTGACTAATGACCCCCAAACATATTCATCATTTCCAAATGCTTCTACCAAAGAAAGAATAGTTTTAAAATATTGTGAAACAATATCACTATAATGAAGTAATTTAACAAACATTCTTAAGTATCCTTTCCCTCAATGAGGATAATTACTTGTCAGAACCTCACCACAACAACCTGTCTACATGGTGCAACATAGGAAATTTGGTTTGTCTATGTACTGGGCAGACACTATCTTTCCATATGTAATCACTCAATCTTAATCTGCATGCATACTGCATTCAATAATCTATGGTAATTTGGTTAACAAGTTTTTTTCTGTGATTTCCTCAGGGCCTGGAGAAGATCCACTTTGGAAGCACATACCATGAATTGGGAAATTTGATGACCAATATTGCACTGTGTTACCGTCGTTTAAACAGACTGGATGATGCAGAGAAGATGTATTTCAGGTAAGACTATATACCACCTTAGGTGATGTGGAAGTCAGTTCAGACTACTTTGTCTTTCTTGACATAATTCATTTCATATTGTTCATTGTTGTAGGTCTCTCTAGTGTTGTAGGTCTCTCTAGTGTTGTAGGTCTCTCTAGTGTTGTTGATCTCTGTCTTGTGTTGCAGGTCTCTGTCTTGTCTTGTAGGTCTCTGTCTAGTGTTGTAAGTCTCTGTCTTGTGTTGTTGGTCTCTGTCTTTAGTTGTAGGTATCTGTCTTGTGTTGTAGGTCTCTCTAGTGTTGTAGGTCTCTGTCTAGGTTGTAGGTCTCTGTCTCGTGTTGTAGGTCTCTGTCTTGTGTTGTAGGTATCTGTCTTGTGTTGCAGGTCTCTGTCTTGTCTTGTAGGTCTCTGTCTAGTGTTGTAAGTCTCTGTCTTGTGTTGTTGGTCTCTGTCTTTAGTTGTAGGTCTCTGTCTTGTGTTGTAGGTCTCTGTCTAGTGTTGTATGTCTCTGTCTTGTGTTATTGATCTGTATCTTTGTCTTGTGATGTAGGCCTCTGTCTTGTAGGTCTCTGTCTAGTGTTGGAGGTCTCTGTCTAGTGTTGTAGGTCTCTGTCTAGTGTTGTAGGTCTCTGTCTAGTGTTGGAGGTCTCTGTCTAGTGTTGTAGGTCTCTGTTGTGTGTTATTGATCTTTGTCTTGTGATGTAGGCCTCTGTCTAGTGTTGGAGGTCTCTGTCTAGTGTTGGAGGTCTCTGTCTAGTGTTGTAGGTCTCTGTTGTGTGTTATTGATCTTTGTCTTGTGATGTAGGCCTCTGTCTAGTGTTGGAGGTCTCTGTCTAGTGTTGTAGGTCTCTGTCTAGTGTTGTAGGTCTCTGTCTAGTGTTGTAGGTCTCTGTTGTGTGTTATTGATCTTTGTCTTGTGATGTTTGTCTCTATCTTGTGTTGTAGGTCCATGTCTTGTATTGTGGCCATGGGTCCATGTCTTGAGTTGTAGGTCTCTTGTTTCGAGTGTTGTAGGTCCCTTGAAATGAAAGCGGCAGCGGTTGGCTGGGAACATACCTATGTGGCTTTGGCTTATGGCAACCTGGCAACGCTTGAGCTTTATCGTGAAAAACCAAATTACGAGAAGGCTTTGGAATACAATATCAAAACCACTGAAATATATAAGGTATTTCTGAAGGTTTAGTGTTTAGAGAAAGATATGTTCATGTTTCATAATTAAGATTTGCAGGTTGAAGGAATGAATATCAGAATGTAATTATCCATTATTATAACACACAGTCCTCGAAAGTCCTCAGTATCCTGTTATATACCTTTAATTTTTTCCCCAGATCACTTAATATCGACCGCCTCCGTGGTGTAGTGGTTAGAGCGTCCGCCCGGAGAGCGGAAGGTCGCGGGTTCGATCCCCGACTGCGTCATACCAAAAGACGTTAAAATATGGTACTTGTTGGTCCCTGCCTGGCGCTCGGCATTAATGGGTACAACAAGGACTGGTCGGCTCGGAGTCAGTATAATGTGTCTGAGATGGGTATTCATGCTTCACTGCGTCATGGTATCTCAGTGGGCTAGCACTATAAAACCAGCTTAAGTCTGGGCTAGTACAAGCAGCCGCACATACACATACACACGCATGCACGTCGTCATATGAGCGAAATATTCTCAAGCACGACGTTAAACCCAATTTCACCTCACCTCACCTCACCTTAATATCAACATTTTACTAAGTTGGCTGAAAGTAACAGTCAGCTATAGTTTGGCATGAAATGCATGTGGACCCGTTTTTTTGTAAATATCTCTTCATCCAATGACCCAATCGATCTCAAACTGTGCAAGTGGATGTTTTGTCAGACATTGTAAATCACCGATTTTATGCATTTGTATTAAAGAATTTGTCTATGTAACTGTCAACAAAATAAACAGCAGAACGCAGACGGCTTGCAGAGGGAGGGAGCCAATGACCTGTAACAGCGGCAAAGTATTATTCAGTTTTATATCTTGTGTGGTTTACTCTTTGGATTAAGCAGCGTTTGTTGTCATGGTATTGAGTCTACACTCAGTAGAGTTGGAGAGTATTTATCGAATATTGTTTAAAACAATTTGTGAGAGTTGGCAAACTTATCAGTGCTTAGTTCCCCTTGAATATTCCCTTTCAGCTGAATGAAATATCTGAGGATGACTTCCAGTATCGGAAGTTCCTGGAGAACCAGGCAATGATCCTGTATCGGCTGGGAAGGCATGATGAGGGAGTAACGTTGTTCCTGCATGTCCGTGAGTCACTGTGGATAATGGGTTGAAATGAGTGGAATTCTTGTCACTGTGTGGAGTGCAGTCCTCCAAGTGAATCACTGTGGTTGATGAGTGTGCAGAGTGGAATCCTTGTCACTGTGTGAAATACAGTTCCTCCATGCAAGTGAATCACTGTGGTTGATGGGTGTGCAGAGTGGAATCCTTGTCACTGTGTGGAATAGAGTTCCTCCATGTGAGTGAATCACTGTGGTTGATGGGTGTGCAGAGTGGATGCCTTGTCACTGTGTGGAATAGAGTTCCTCCGTGTGAGTGAATCACTGTGGTTGATGGGTGTGCAGAGTGGAATCCTTGTCACTGTGTGGAATAGAGTTCCTCCATGTGAATCACTGTTGTTGATGGGTGTGCAGAGTGGAATCCTTGTCACTGTGTGGAATAGAGTTCCTCCGTGTGAGTGAATCACTGTTGTTGATGGGTGTGCAGAGTGGAATCCTTGTCACTGTGTGGAATAGAGTTCCTCCGTGTGAGTGAATCACTGTTGTTGATGGGTGTGCAGAGTGGAATCCTTGTCACTGTGTGGAATAGAGTTCCTCCGTGTGAGTGAATCACTGTTGTTGATGGGTGTGCATATTGGAATCCTTGTCACTGTGTGAATAGAGTTCCTCCATGTGAGTGAATCACTGTGGTTGATGGGTGTGCGGAGTGGAATCCTTGTCACTGTGTGGAATAGAGTTCCTCCATGTGAGTGAATCACTGTGGTTGATGGGTGTGCATATTGGAATCCTTGTCACTGTGTGGAATAGAGTTCCTCCATGTGAGTGAATCACTGTTGTTGATGGGTGTGCAGAGTGGAATCCTTGTCACTGTGTGGAATAGAGTTCCTCCATGTGAGTGAATCACTGTTGTTGATGGGTGTGCAGAGTGGAATCCTTGTCACTGTGTGGAATAGAGTTCCTCCATGTGAGTGAATCACTGTGGTTGATGGGTGTGCAGAGTGGAATCCTTGTCACTGTGTGGAATAGAGTTCCTCCTTGTGAGTGAATCACTGTGGTTGATGGGTGTGCATATTGGAATCCTTGTCACTGTGTGGAATAGAGTTCCTCCGTGTGAGTGAATCACTGTGGTTGATGGGTTTGCAAAGTCGGATCCTTATCACTGTATAATGTTTTTACCCCTTGGCATATATTGCCTAGATAAGTATGAAGTCAGAAATAGAATTGTATCCAGTATTTAGTACTACCCAGTTATTCAGGTTGTCATCTCACTATAAAGAGCACTGTATTTTATGAGACCTGATTATTTGACAAATGTTAAAATGTTTGATCATCGTATTCTCAGATACCATGAATCTTGAATGACTAAAGAACAAAACAACTTTCACTTCTGGCAGTTTTGCCATATACCATCTATGTATCAAAAGACAATTAGTATAAAAATCTCCATTTCATATTTTGTTTTGAAAATCCAGTCGTCTGTGAACTCTGCACCATCTTCTGTATTACACTTTAGTGCAGAGTTTTCTGAATTTTGAGTAAAACTACTTGAAATGCTGTTCATCGTAGTATTAATGCAAACTGACGAACTTACAACGTTACAGTTGATATCCTTGTCCGCAACAAAGCCGTCCATCAGCGTATCAAGACCGTCAGTAATGAGATCCTACAGTACCTATTCAACAACAAGCGTTATGTGGAGGCTGAGCAGGTCCTGCTTGTGCTCCTGGAGCATGATCCAGACCCGGTCTCCTACTTCATCCTGGACTTCATGGACATCCTCCAGCCCCGGGATCAGCCCCGGCCTCAACACCTGACCCTGGACCATGGACTTACCATGTCAGTGTATTTGAAGGTGTTCCTAGTTCGGTAGTGGAGTGTTGGTGTAGCCAAAAATGTAAAGTGTCTGTGTTGGCCAGGGTTTGATTTCCTACTTGGGTACAATTTGTGAAGCCCATATTTTTTTCAATACCTTACCTCAATTACATCGTAGCAATAAATTCCTGTTTGGGCAGTAATCGGGATAAAACTTTTGATTTTCGACTGATTGCCTCCTCACTGCCAGCATATCTACTAGTTCTGGGGCAAAATTGTTGCCCCACTTAATACATATGCAACTGCACAAGTTATGATAATATTTCATTTGATTAGTGGATTATATCTACTGGAGTATAATGTCACCAGTGTGATGATTCTGCAAAGAATCATTTATGTCATTTTAAAGGGTAAATTTGTTTTCTTCTAAACAAAATCAAATGAAATCATGCAGATAAAAATCATTGTTCATGAATGTTTGGTTGTTAATATTTGTCCGCAATGCTTGTCAAACCTAGGAAATTGTACCAAACTATAATGAACTCTTAGGGAAGAAGAGACATGTGAAAATAACAACTGTTTTAATTCTTCATGCTGAAATCTTTATCCATGTGTATTTGAGTCCCAACCAAAGACACATTTTATGGTGTTATCACAAACAGGAACATTGGTGTCAATGATAATCTTGCTATTGACCCATGTTTGACCTATTTCATCAGGGTGCCATGGGCCACAAAGTGGTCTAAATACAATATGTTGCAATGCAGAGTTAATCTCCAGCTCATGTAAGGATATTCTGAGAATGGTTCTAATACTGTTTGATTTGTCTGCCCCTTTCCCTCCCACATAAAGTTGTCATGCCTTGATGTACTACAACTTTACTGAAGAACATTGAACCCAAATCACTCTTCACTGTTGCAGCTGGCCTGGTGATGCCACCTTGTGTCAGCAGAAAGCTGTGAAGCACCTGATTCCAGCTGGCGCAACCGAGGAGTTGCTGCAGCTGCTTCCCACCATGATCAACGCTGACTACAACACGGCAGTGTACAATGCTGCAGCAAAATGGTGCACTGATGCAGGTAGAGATGATATGGCTGTGGAGGTGCTGGAAGCTGGACATAAAGCATACCCAGACCATATTGTGAGTATATTCCTCATGTATACCAGTCCATGTAGTGAGCTCATTCTTAAAGGATACCAGACCATATTATGAGTTTATCAATAAAGCATACCAGGCCATAAAGTAAGTGAATTCATAAAGCATACTAAACCATATTGTGAGTTCATTCATGAAGCATACCAGACCTTGCAGTGAATTTATTTATGCTTGAGAGAAATGCCAGCAAGCGAGTGCTCTGACAAACCATTGAAGAACATTTGATGGCTAGCATATCCCTGGCAGGACAAAGCGATTGCTCAATGTTTTGATTTTTGCAGTTAAATATAGGAATTGTTTAATGTCTGGCAACATAGACCATAGCCATGTGACTCTCAGCTCTGCCCGATGCTTCAATGTAAGATGCTTTACGTGCAGTTGGGCCTATTTCTTTGCCATTATTTAGTCAAAGACTCATTTCATTAGCTCATTTGTGGTGTGTGGTCCTGTGGATAGAGCTCAGGTCACAAATCATTTGAAATTAAGCAACATTGAGCGCAGAGAGTCCTGGGATGGGTGACCGCGTTAGGCAGCTTGACTCCTGAGAGTTTCTTGGACTTCAGTCCTGCCCCACAACGAAGCATATGTGATACATATGGTCTCACCTTAGGCAAGTGAGTTGGTTCAAAATTCACCCAGCAGAAAAATGGGTGGGATAAGACATGTGACTATTAATCTTCTCGCGCCTCACAGGCAGCTTGGGTTATCTGGGGTAATATTCGTAGACTTTGTGATGCACTGTTGAACAGCTTTGAGTTGGATACCAGGCACCATATAAATGCATTATATATACTTCTCTTTAAAAGTTTGGACTCACTAGTGTAAATATAGCTACTGGTACTTACTTCAGGCAACTGTTCTAAACTAAATTTTGCCAAATATTTCATACTGTTTAAAGGTACTGTTTACACATGAACTGATGTATTGTAAAACAAATCCATAACGTTGAAAAAATTATTGTCATGAGTTCAGTAAATGATGAAATTCAGTGAAAATTGGCGAATTCTTAACAAAACTTTACACCACAACGCTGCTGTTCACATGCAGGATATTTGCACATGCTTTTCAGCAATTTGATGCATGATCCTCGTACAATTCATCTGCATAAAGTTTGCAGTTGGTTCCCCCAAGTTAGTGGAGAAATCAATCTTCGATGTAACAATATATATATATACATAACATATAGTGACTGTTTTAAGTGAGTCTAAACTTTTGAAGAGAAGTATATACTAGTATTATACATAGCTGACAAATGAATATATACTGATGGAAACGAATAAGGGAACACATGAAAGTACAAGTCTTCCTGTACTCTTTTCTAGGTTTCTTTGCATGCTTTATATTGTGCACAGTGGGTGAAAATCTGGAAATAAGTAAAGGAACATTTGTATGTTTCCTTATTCTGTACAGGTCTCACCTCTATGCCACAGACAACTCACACATGATGTGGTTAATACAAGCTTGCAAGGTCTTCAAAATGGCATCAGTTGTGTGGTGTCACTGATATGTTGTAATTGAATGTGTCACATGTGTGTTACCACTTGCGTTATTAAACATCCCAGAAATTTAATTCTCATTTCAAATTATATGTCTACAATATAGAAAGTAAACTTCAACTGGAATCCAGAACAATACTTAATTTTAGAACTGAGGCAAGCTAGTCTTGAATTTGATTCCTTCCTCAATGTTTGGGGGACAGACATCATCGGAAGATACTTATATCCTATTATGAAAGCTGGAAGTATGGAGCTTTCTGTATGTAAGACATGATGCTGTAGACATGTGTTTTCTGTTAGGAAACATTACCTTTGCTGACTTTTGGATCAGGTGACTGTATATTGTGGTGAGCTACAGTGCAATGTTATAAACAAGTATATATACAACATAAACTCTTACTGGGTTTTCAAGTGAACATGATGTGTTTCTGTATTAGGCCTATGAGACTCAGTTGATTGACTTGCTGAACAAGCTGAAGCGTTACCCTGAAATCCTTGTGCACTCCAAGAATGTTTTCGAGGTGGAGAAAAGACAATCCCGGTCTGTTCTTGGTGTCCGGCTATGCCAATCTGATGTGTGGCAACATAGATACTGCCAAGGAAATGCTCAGCAAGGTTCTATGCATGAATGATGAACGTCTGGCTGCCATGGTGGGTTTCACATCCAGAATATGAAACTTGATAGATTTAAGTCAGGTTTTTCTTTTAAATCTAATCAACTTGTCAGTTGCAGTTGTAGTATAATGGTGGTTCTGCATCACTTCCTCCTAGGGGGTTATTTCTATGTAATGTTGCTCCCAGCATCCAGTAAATATAATGATCCCCTAGCGGAGACATCGTTCAATGTCCCGACTAGCTGTCCAGCCTAGGCCCATTAAATTCGCCTAGTGACTGACAGCAAGCCAGATGGCTGCCCGAGCTTGACAACGGAACTCCAACCAAGAGCACAGTTGCTAAGCCAAACAAGAAGGCCGCCCGAGCTTAGCAACGGTGTGCCGACGTTGCTAAGCCAAACAAGATGGCGACCGAGCTTAGCAACGGTGTGCCGACATTACTAAGCTTTAACTCTTTCGTTGCCGTCGTCGTCGTAAATATCCAACACATTAATGTGTTGTTTTATAGGAGCTGTAACTGCGGGAATGCCATTTTCGTCGACCAATTCTTTATACGCGATTAATTTTCCGTCGTCGTAAATGGGTTCGGTTTTATTGTAAGCTACGATGGACGTAAATCGTTTGCCAGGGGAATCTTCGCGTATTTTAATACGCGTGATTGGATTTGGAAGTCATACACCGGGAAATTCATCCGAAGACAAAGCTATACGTCGTTGGATACTATTACATATTTTACTGGAAGAAGACACTAACGCGTATTTGGGAATACGCTCAGGTAATTTATCGGGCACGATAATTAAACATTTTTTTATGGCATCTTTAACGGCAGAGTGAAACGCTTCTTCTAAAATTTCGAGTAACTGAAATAAAACCGACTTCGACTCTTCGGGCAGTAAAATAGGTTTGCCCTCTGCATCGGGCATATATTGTAACCGATCATCCGTAATCGGTTTTTCTTTCCATTTACGAATTTGCACGTTTGCGTTATGATCCGATTGTTTTTTAAATTGATATTCGGGATATTGTTGCTGAAGCTGTGCTACAGCTGTGTCCGTGTTCGGATCGATAAATGCCCACTGTTTTTTCGTCGTGGAAACGGCATTTTGATAAAACTTCTTCGGATTTCTGATTTAAGAAATAAATTTTACAGTATTTAATGCTCGGATTAGAAGTTAATGGTCGAAATCGCATCCATTCGAATTTAAATGCGCTATTCGGAAAAGAGGTTTCTCGTTTAGCCAAAATACATCGGTCGAACCCCTTTGATGTTATGCAAGGAGCATGGAAGTGTGGCGACAGCGAAGAGAAATTTGTATTATAAGAAGTAAGTACAGTCAACAAAAAAGACCTCGATGGACACAGGATATATAGACTGAGGAACTATATAGTTTGCTGTTGGTATTTGCCATCTCTCTCTCTCTCTAAAAATGAGATTCTTATAAATATCTGACAAAAATAGTCAACATCTATCTCCCGGTCTAAACACTGTGGCGCTTTATCAGGCATAGCTAGGTTGGGTAGCCACTTAGCAACTGGGTTCGTGGTAAGAGCGCCGTTACCAAGCATGTCCGCCATATTGCTTTGCCTAGCAACAGGGTTCTGGGTAGGAGCGCCATTGTCAAGCTAGTCCGCCATCTTGGTTGGCTTAGTAACAGGGTTCGTGGTAAGAGCGCTGTTACCAAGCTCGTCCGCCATCTTGTTTGGCTTAGTAACGAGGTTCGTGGTAAGAGCGCCGTTACCAAACTTGTACGCCATCTTGCTTGGCTTAGCAATTGGGTTCTGGGTAAGAGCGCCGTTGCTAGGCTGATGACGTCACACTGTTTACCTTGGTCACCGATGTAGGAATGCTCGCTGTGTGGGTCCTCACTTGCAAAAGTTTCTGACGCTGGATTCTCCGGCCAACGCTCTACCATCAGACTGGCGGGACGGCTGACGGTCACTCTGCGAATTAAACGGGTCTAGGCTGGCGAGCTTGTCGGTACATCGAACTATGTCTCCCGCTGAAAAATCACTATTTTTACTGGGTGCTGGGAGTGGAATTAAGCCAAAATAAGCCCACAGGGTACCCTGTAATAGAACCCCTACCATAATACTACTATGAGCGCTGACGTGACCTACAACATGGGGGCTATCTAGACCAGTAGAACGCTCATGGGGAACGCTGGCATGACTTACAAACCTCACTCGGCTTGCAAAAGTTTCCAACGCTAGCCCGACTCGAACGCTGGGCCTTAGTATTGTCAGTCCAGCACTCTACAATCACACTGCCGGGACCGGCTGTCAGACACTAGACGAATTTAACGGGCCTAGGCTGGACAGCTAGTCGGGACATCGAACGATGTCTCCGTTCGGGGATCATTATTTTTACTGGACGCTGGGAGCAACATTACATAGAAATAACCCCCTAGCAGGAAGTTATGCAGAACCACCATCATACTATTACCATTGCTCTTTTGTAATGGTATTGTTTTGAATATTGTTGTTATCATATTATTAATCATAAACAAACAAATAATACTAAGCATTGTGGGTATATATGAAACAGACACAGTTTATTAATCGCTTCCCTTTATGACCGCTTCCTTCAAAAAGCTTGTTTCTGACTTCAATATGTTTGAAAAAGGACTCTTTGGCTGTTTTTATTATTTGACTGTCTTGACTCTTCTTACAACTGAGCAAGTTGAACTTTAGTACCTCTGTATTATTTTCCTTTCTGATTTCAGGCTAAGGACTTGTTGGATAAGTTATCCAATATGATGGAACAGTCATCTACTGAAGAAGACAGTAAGGCGAACACTGAATAAGAGCTGAAGATGGATGATAAGGAGAGTATACAGAAATGTCAGCTGATTTTAGAGAGACTGATATCAATATGTTGATAATCAGAAACAGTCGCTATGTAATTTTCATTAGGAGAGACTGGCGAAGACAATTCAGAAAGTTCTTTGGATAAGCCATTAACTTCTGTCTTTGTTTTACAACATGTTGTTTGTTTTGCTTATTTAAGAAATGCATCAGATAACATCTGCCTTGCTGTTTCTATCAAATCTTGTGCACAATCAATTTTTTTAAGCCTTCTAAGCCTTCTTCAGATTGATTTTGCCATACATCTGTGAAGAACTGTATCACCTGAAGCCGCCTCTCAATCAATTTATCTTGCTTCACTGAAGGGGTCGCAGGCCAAAAGGATATTGATACTATTTTAGACTCAGAGAGGTAGAGTCAATAAAAGAGTATCATATGTACACATCATAGCATAGGAAATAAACATGACATCCTTGCCTGACTGAGGAATTGCACAGATATTGAAGCAGTTGACCAGTAATGTCCTTTGTAAGAATGTAACGGACAATTTACACAGAGATGCCCTGTATAGAATGAAACGTCATAAATCCAGACAGGAGCAGTCACTGTCATCCACCTTCAGAAGAGTCCAGATTATCAAGTTTTCAATGGAGTAATCACCCATAATGTGAGGTTTCCATATTACTAGATCTGGCTGAGGTTTCACTGCTTGAAATTTGACCTGGGAATGTTAAACCAAGTCACCAAGGGGCATGTGTCTTGATGTACCAAACATGTTTGTATTTGGAGGGATGATTTAGGGGAAGGTTGTCCAAAAGTTGATAAATGCATTCTGTGATGTTTATGTTTTATTTTAACCTTGCTTTAATTCATACATCTATTATCAGATACACATATTAGTTATGTTTATGCTGTTATTCATTTTTATGTTACTATAGTGTAGAAGTATTTTTATACAATCTTGCACTGTTGTGCCTTGACATTTTTATATTTCTTAACTTCTTATTTTACATTATGGTCAATAAATCTTTGTATTACGCAAGAACTGATTTGCAAGTTCTGTTTTGTTTGGACATGACAACAAACAGGGTTAGATTTTATTTGAAAGTTTGAACTCAAAACATTTTTACCATGTGAAAGTTGAAATTAGATAATGATTGTGCCCACCAATGGTGAGTTAATAATCTTAAATCTTCTGTTTTTAGAAGTTTTTCCAGTACTCTAAAACAATATATCTAACAAAATATATTGCTTTGGAAAAGGAATAGAATTACCTTTTATCAGTTTGTTTTGATGGATTACAACATCCATGCTGTATTTTTATCCCCTCTGCATGTAGTGCGGGGGATATAGTCAACGCCTTGTTCGTCCGTCCGGTTTGGTAGATATATCAAACAGAACCTGAAGTGGTGCTCTTGCTATTTACAGATTTATGTCATTTGTATTGTCCCCTGCCGTGCGTTTAGCGAAGCAGGGGATATAGTATTAGGCTCCTTCCATATACATACGTCCATACGTCTGTATTCGAATTGGAATATCTTAAAGCTTACATGCAACGCTAAACACAACTTTGCAGATTCTGATACCTTTCGGTTTGTTACTTACAGTAACAAATGATCAAAAATGCAAATTCAACTTATAAAGTTGAAAAATAATGCGATGAAAAAACTCCCGCGAAACAATAATGATATATTTTTCTGTATTCGCATCTCTGGAAACAACTTTAAACATTGCCTGATTGTATACATGTGTTCTACCTATTTAGAAAAACTTTGCTGCTAATTTGTGTTGCTGTGCAAAATTGTCTCTCATATTTGCTCCAGAATCTGCTGAGCCTCTACATGATCTTCACTGTAGAGAACATAAGAATGAGGGAACAAAGATGCTTACATCACCACATACTATCACTATGTACCCATCCATTCTCAATCCTGGAAGTATTTCCGATTAGCAGTTGACAGTCACTGCTACAAATTTCTAGTTCTACCCTTCAGGATGTCATTTGCTCTATATACTCAGATTGCATCTCCAGAAACCACACATCCACCTGGTATGGCTACATAGGTTAATAGAGGACTTTCTATTGACGGGAATCTTCCAACTGTCTCGCCTCATCTTCTTAGCACATTCTACCAAATCGGAAATCAAGACATTTATATTAGCTCATAGTTCCCAGTGTCCTCTGAAGGTTACCTGAAATATGTAGAGCTGATCTCTGATGTGGCAGAGCAATCATACCTTACACCACATTAGTGGATATCCTTACGAAGGAACCTTTTGATTTAAACAAATTTATTCATTATGAGTAATAAAAAGGATTGGCAAACAAGGCAAAGGCTTATCTTATGCCGCTACAATACAACAGCATTTTATTATGTACATATGTATGACGTTTCAACAGTTACATTGAATTTGATGAATGAAATAAATTCATTTACAGTAGGTTTACAGTTATGTATTACATTGTGTTTCAGTACATTACTTCTTAAAACTTAAATCTACAAGATTTTTCAATAAAACAATGAACAGATTTAACAATTTTGCAAATTTTCAATTTCTGATGCTTGAATATTTCCATATCGGACCGATTTGAGATTGTATCCATTTCTATAAAAATACATATCATTTCTTAAATTATCATAATTTGGACACAGAAAGAAATAGTGTAAATTATCTTCACAAAATGCACCACAAGAACAAGATGGGTCATTAGATATATAAGGATTAACTTTGTGCGAGTTTAGATCGCTACATCCTAATCGAAGTCTACAGTGCATAATTTGACAGAATCTGCTTCCAAAATTTGGATCATAGGCAAATTTAATACCTGGGTTGTGTTAGATTTTATCCGTGAAAGATTTTGGAGATTGTTTTTGTTTAATATCATCTGGTAAAAGGTTCCAAAGTTCTACAGTGCTTGGTGAGAAAGAATTACTGTAGAATGTTGTTCTTGAAGGAACGTTTTGTAAATTTGTTGAAATTCTCAAATCATAGGAAATATTTGCAGATACGGGTTTTGGAACCATATTACATAACTAGCTAGGTGCTTTATTGTGTATCATTTTATGAAAACTATTTAACTTTTGTAGACGTCTTCTTTCAGCTAGAGGTAGGAGTTTCTTCATACAATTTATTATGGCCTGTACCGCGTGTTGCCCCACATGTAGTTCTCAAAGCATCAAGTTGTAATGTTTCTAACTTGTTTTTATGATTCGTTGTACAGTTGTCCCATATGTGGCTGCAGTAATCAAACAAGGGTAATATGAAGGGTTTATACATGATTTTAAGAGTGTTTCTTGATAAACGATATTTAAAACTTCTCAAGCAGTTTGTCATCGGTGAAACCCTATCTATAATGCTATTTATTTGTGAGGTCCAATTTCCATCTGATTCTAAATGTTTATGTTTATTTACCTCTTTAATAGGGATACCTTGCATTGATAACTGGGGTTTTAAACATGGTAAAAGTTTCTTGCTAAATTGTATACTTTCTGGGGTTTTGGATTAAACTTAACTTGCCAATTTTTAGACCATTGTGATATTCTTTCTAAATTGTCGTTTAAGCGCATAGCTGATACACTTGGATCATCTTTGAAAACATAAAGTGACGTATCATCAGCAAATAGTCTAATATTACAGTCTATACCATCTACAAGATCATTAATGTATATCGGAAATAACAGTGGTCCTAACACTGATCCCTGAGGGACACCTGCTAGTACAGGCTTATATTCTGAATTAAATCCATTTATAACTTTCTGTACTCTGTCATGAAGATAACTATCAAACCATTTTAGTAGCCTACCACCTATTCCAACAGAACGTAATTTATTCAAAAGTCCCTTATGCCATACCTTATCAAAGGCTTTGCTGATATCGCAGAATACAGCCCTTACCTCCCTACCCTTATCAAGTGAACTTGAAATAAAATCATATAAATATATTAACTGATAACTAGTCGAATCTCCAGAGGTGAAACCAGATTGCATCTCACTTATGATATCGTTGTCTTTGAAGAAATTATAAACATATTTATGTACACATTGTTCAAATACTTTTGATACACTTGTCAGTGCTACAGGTCTATAGTTACTACAGTCATCAATGTTACCTTTCTTGTGGATGGGAATTACTGATGCTTTTTTCCATATTTCAGGGAAGGTAGAGGTCTGAAGGGATTGGTTGAAAATCTTCATGCGGGGATATGACAAATTTCTTGCATTTAGTTTAAGAAATCTATTCCCAATACCATCAGGCCCGGTTGCCTTTCTATTGTTGAGGGAAAGGAGAATATCTCTAACATCTGCTAGGTTTAGTTCTATAGAGGATGAACAGTTTTCATTTATCATATTAGGAATAGGGGGAGAGGGTTCCGGGTCTTCAACAGAGGCCTTGGCGATGAAAAAATCATTTAATACGTTTGCTATAGATATTGGATCATCATAGATTATATTTTGATGCGAGATCGGTGGAAAACTTGTCATTTTATGTTTTTTTATTCAAATAAGTTTTCATCAAGTACCACCAAGTCTTATTATCACAATGCTAATTGATAATGCCGTCTAATTTCAAATAAATGATTTTCCTTTGCCTTTCTGACTGCAGACACCACAACACATTCACTCACCAATCACACTTACAAGCTTCAAATACTTACATTCAGTTTAAGTTCAATTCCATTCAGCCTATATTTTTCATTAGGGAACAAGAAGAAAGAATTCAGAAAATCATTTAAAATTTGCAAAATCATGATATAACATCCACGTTTTATAAAACTTATCTTGTTCACTTTTACTGAAGGATATATTTTTTTCAATAAAATACCTATCTTGTAAATAATGTCTAAAATGTTTAAAACTAAGAGTAGTTTTTAATACCTTACATTTATATATGAAGAATTTAGCTAACAACAATATTAAATCAAACACATCATCAGTATATACATTTGTTCTCATTCCAAACACAATAAGTTGCAGGTCCAATTTCATGTTGTGAACATGTTGACATTTATCATTCAATAATTCTAGAAAACATTTCCAAAAAGTTTGCACATGTTCACAATACCAAAACAAGTGGGAGATTGTTTCAACCTCACATTGACACACGGTACATAAGTTGCTTTCAGCTAAGTTGATCTTAAATAGAAATGAATTGGTTGCGAGAATGCTATGTATAATCCTGAACTGAAACCATTGAAGTTTAGTATCCCTTGTAGTCTTTAAAGGTTTTATAAATATTTTTTCCCATTCAAGTTCAGCAAGCATACAATCCTCCCACTCATTCATGAATTTTAAGTTTACATCAGATGCAGTCAAAACATAGTAATAACACTTGGCTCCCTTCTTAACAGACATCAAGTTTCGATTAACTGTATTACCATCTAACTGCTCAAAAGAAGTAGGTTTCATTATCTTTAACTTAGTTTGATAAGTTTTAATAGCCATGATAAGACCATTATAATGGAGAAAATTTATGTCAAGTTCAAAAGTGTTCTGAAATTCCTCGAGTAGGATATGTTCCGTCTAAATTGGTAAAATCACGAATCTGACTAACACCTCTCTCAAACCAAGCAGAACAAAAAAAATAACTTCTTTTTCTGACTGTTGATACCACAACACAATTCCCGTAATTTTCTAAAAGCTTCCCAATCAGATTGAAGATTAAGTCGTTTTGCAAGCTTGTGTTTATGATATCGTTTGCGTATCAAACTACGTATTTCGGCATTCATCCATGGCTTATCTTTACTTCTAACCGATATAGTTTTATTTGGAATAAATTTGTCCATAACATGTAAGAGAAATTTACTCATTCTCATAACTAATAAATCAGTGTCAGGAATGTTAAGAAGAGCTTCCCAGTTATAGCTATGCAAATATGAATTTAAATGGTCTATGTTACGTAGTGAATAATTGTATATCTTCCTTGTGAAACTTGTATCGAAAGATTAGGATTTTTTAAGGCTAACAAACACGGGACAATGGTCACTACAAACAGGAACGTATTGTCCATACAAGATATGATGTCCAAGGGAAGACCTCAACTTCAACCCATTCAAGCTTGGAAGGAGAACACTGTGAAGTCACCAAAGGTGGACAGCCAAGTACTTTTCCTGCCATCTGGAGGTTTTCACATGGTATAAGTGCCGTGATAATGTTATGAAGTACATTCCGTCAGAGCAGAGCACCACCTGTTTACAGTCGCCTCTAACTTAGGATGGGAGGCCCAAATGGACAACTAAACTGTATTCAGGAGGCATTCCACATCAATTGCCAAAACATTGCTTTCCGCTTTCCGCAGGCAACGCCACAGTAGTAGAGTGAGTGAGTTAAGTTTTTCGCTGCTTTTAGCAATATTCCAGCAATATCATGGCGGGGGACTCCAGAAATGGGCTTCACACATTGTAGCCTTGTGGGTAATCAAACCCGGGCCTTCCCCGTGACAAGTGAACGCTTTAACCACTAGGCTTACCACACACATGCACACACACAAGCACACAAGTAGAGACAAAGGAAACCAGGTCTATTGGTTTAGTCACATCTGTAATGTAACCCTTGGATTTTTTTATCATTTGCGGATTTTCAGGATTTCACCTGAATATTATTTAGTTAAACTCTAGCTATATTTTTTAATAGACTTGATTTTAAACTGAAATTCTTCAAAGGCATTCAGAAGTTGGTGTAGTAATACAAGACAAATCTTATGGATAACAACTTCTTGATTTATTTTCTGGGCTTGTTCTTGCCCCTTCTTCAGGTGGATAATGGTGATAGTGAACAGTACAGTATATATATAGATGTACAGGAAGCCAGATATGTACATTCAGTATATACAAGGGGAAAAGGAGGTATAATTAAGTATGTACAAACAATGCAGTGAGATCAAAGAGCAGAATACAATGGTAGGGTATGTTTTTACAATAAGGTCAAGGGTGTGTTTACATAGCAGAGTGTTTTAAGCAGATTGAGTTTGAGAGTCTAGGATTTCTGGGTGATCAACCAGGCGCTGGGAAGGTAAACCCCTTGATCTCTGTCAAGTTTGCCAGCCCTATTAGATGTTTTCAGAGTCACAATTGTAGCCAAAAATGATACCATTTTTTATTTTGACTACGTCAGAGAGATCAGATCTTCCAAGTCCCCCCACCTATCAGTAAATTTGGTGTTCTTTCTTTGTGACGTAAGGTGATTTAGACAACGAACGCGAATACATGTATTAAAGATTTCCAAATCCCCATATTTCGCTAAACTAAAGAACTTATACAACCATAACGTCAAAAACGCGCAGTTAACACCCAACTGATAAATTGGGTGTCCCCTTTTGCATAGAATGTAAATGCATTACTTTATTAGCTGTTCCGATAAACTTTGCTTCCTAATAGTAAATTTGAGATTTCTTTGCAAAAGACCGCCAAGGTATTTATAGGATTTCACCTTTCCAAAAGTATATCCAAAACTGTAATTGTTTCTGTAATCACTTTTGGATCCGCCAAATATTATTACTTTACTCTTCGAAATACTGATCTTAATCAGGTTTCACAATATCTGTAAAACGAACGTGTCTGCAGATACAACGTATTTTATATTTGGCGTCAACAGTTCTTAATCTTCATGCATTTATGCAAACAGTTATGACATTTTCTGTTTGTTTAAAACATTCATTTAGTTTAAACTCAACTCTATCACAAGAGTCTTCCATGAGTGTGACCCGTGAGGGTCCGGGTTAGCATGAACCTTCAGTAACCCATGCTTGTCGTAAGAGGCGACTAACGGGATCCGGTGGTCTGCCTCGCTGGCTTGGTTGACACATGATCGGTTCCCAATTGTGCAGATCGATGCTCATGCTGTTGATCACTGGATTGTCTGGTCCAGACTCGATTATTTACAGACCGCCGCCATATAGCTGGAATATTGCTGAATGCAGCGTAAAACTAACTCACTCACTTCCATGAGTGGTGTTTCAAGGTCATTTGGGAACAGTGCAAATAAGACCTGTGACAAGGTTTCTCCTTATCGTACACCTGACTTACATGGGTAAAAGATCGTAAAATAGTCATTGCGTGAGATACATGTAACATGTTATGTTTGGGATTACACTTTCTATGTAAAGTACATACTCTTTGATTTGTTTATAGAAAAATTCGTTTGTGAAAAGCACAATACTTACTTCATAAGTCATAGCGATGACACAATTGATGTCTGATAACAATGGCTCAAAATTAGGATTTTAAAATCTATTATTGTAGGGAAGAAATGTCCACCACGCTAACATGTCGTCCAACTCGACCACTGACAATGTACATGTTGTTGCTTTTAAACAAATAGAGAAGCTTATGGCCGTTAGACGTCGGAATGCGCATATCCTGACTTATCCTTCCAGCGAACATTCTGCTTTGCTAAATTTTTAACATCATTCATACACAATCCAACTGTGTCAATGGGAATAATATTTGTCTGATACTACTTCAATTTGTTTCTGTATAGAATCTGGTAAGACAGGTGTTCTTGCATTGAGATCCCAAATTAGAAACATACCACTGTTACTCTCCGCTGATAGTTTACATGGAATTTCATCGTGTAATTGGGGAAATGTTTCAACTGAAAAATAACTTCATCTTTCTGGTGGGGCATATGAAATGCCAAGATATCAATTTCCACTGCAGTCACATTAATTATTTCACTATAGATATCATAAACCATAGAACATATTTTCATAATTCGTCTGTTCTATGGAATATTTTATGTAAACATTCTTCACGGCAACTCCTATTTCCTACCAGTGATAATCTATGTGTACATGTTATTTCAAAGAAATTTATACCCTGGGATACTAATACAAATTTATTTAGTTTTGTTTCCGTAAAATATAGAAAAAATAATTTTAAGTTCATTCCGTGAATTCAGAGACATGTAGTCACGTCTTTAGATGAGACGCATTTAGAAACCAAAGATTAAAATCACAATGTTCTTATCAGGCATGTGAGTGTCTAATCCAAACCGTTCACCTTCTTGCTTATCTGTGTAAATAAAACATATCAATTAAGTCTGTATTGTGTTCATGATCATGCACTTCCTTAATAGTAGTGGCTGCCATCGTATTTTCCAAGAACTTTGGCGTGTGTAGGTTCACATGGTGAGATGATGGTTCGTTATGTTCTAACAGGTTTTACCTGCATGGATAGCATCTGCGATGGTTGATGTAGATTTACTTTCGGACATTGAGGATTTGCTCTTGTAAACACACTTCTAAGTTTTCGTCGTTTTGTTCAGCGATTTCCTGTTGAAAGTGCTCCTTGTTTCCAAACTATGTAACTTTAAGGTCCCATATGCTGGTCACATATTCTATTTATCATCAAAAATCACTCTTCATTAGTTTTCATTGAAAAAAGTACGTCTCTGAACACAGTACTGCCATTAGACTTGCAGTGCAGCGATGTCATAGCATTGTGACGTCATAGCATTGTCAGGGCATTGTACAAAATCTACTGTCAAAACGATATCTCCTAGGGGATATCGTATGATCTCACACAAGCAATATCTCCTGTAGAACACAGTTTTGGATGATAAAACAACTTATACCACAGGCGATATTAACCATGTACCCAGTTTTTAGTGTATAATACCCATCCGAGTATAATGTTCAGACATAATACATGTATATGACATAATATTATCATATATTATAACATCAAATTGAAAATGTATTTATTGGCAGGTGAATGTGAATTTTGCAGGAAAACATTACTGGACGTGGTGATTGACAAAATTATTGTGCGTGAGAAATATTTCATTTATAAATCCACTACTAATATATGTTTTATTTGGAGGGTACCGGTCGGGAGATTATTGAACTGAATATAAGTACACTGAGACAACACAGTGCCATGTATGTATTAAAATTGCAAACACATTAAATGTTCATTAAAACAATTTTTGAAAAATATGGTCAAAAACGAAAATTCGCAAGGACATTGATATTATGTAAAATGAGTGTGTGTGTGTTATTTAATTAGATATCAAGAGACGATATGTGAACTATTCATCAAAAGATAATTGATAAAGATCATATTTCGACTTTTTCACAATCCCCTTTTTACACACGCCGTTTTATTGTTTACATCCTGTTTTGGATGACAACCGGCGAGTGACAGGACCATCACTAATATCATCCTTAGCTATTCGCCGATACCGTGATGGGAACATCAAAACTGAAAGACCCTCGAACATGCCGGATATTTTTCTCCTCCCCTTTGGGGAATGGAGGAGGAACGCCAGGAGCTAACGCGGAAATACTTTCCCCAGATTCACCATCTGTGCAACTCGCGGGGAATTCAATTTGTGGCTGTGGACATGAGATGGGGAATCACGTCGGAGGCGGCTGAGAACGCCCAGACTGTGAGCATCTGTCTCCAGGAACTGGATCGATGTGATATTTTTTGTTGGATTTTATGGACAGGTGTGCATTTTTATTTTTGGCCAGGATGCAGTTTACCGGACTGACATCACACTTCGAGCAGCGGTATCGTAGTACTTTCTCTTGACAACTAATGTTCTCGGAAACTAAATCGAAACTATTAATCAGCTGTAGGCACATTTTTGGAAAGACTTCCGCCCATATCCACACTTAAATTTCATTCTAGTCAAAACATATCATTTGAATTTATATTCCTCATCTGATAAGGATGAGTTTTCACATATGTTTCTTTAATTGTATCTGAACATACTGAAAGACATATCCATCTTCTAAAAATGCCACTCAAAGAAATATTCCCTTATCGTTAAAATCGAGGAGGATATGGGCAGAAGTCTTACCTAATCAGTAACCGTTTTACCCTTCAAGCTTCTGCGGCAGCAAATGAATGAAAATGGAATATTATAATAACAATCACAAAGATTTTAAGAAAAAGATCAGACAGTTACCTTTTTTCGAGGAATATAAAATATCTGTCAATATCCACATAGGAACACTGTCCCATGCATCTAATGCTGTACTAAGAAACTTGTCACGTGTCTTTGTAACAATATAATAGTTAAAAATATCTAAAGCATTTGTGGACATTCTAACCTGTGTTTATATATCTCTCAAATGATTGGTTGTTTCAGCTGTTTCATATTGGTAATCCAGCACATTACATCATGATGTTTTTAAGAAAGTCAGTTTAGTAAGATAACAATGAAGCCTCAATCAACATATTATCATTTTTCCTAAGAACAAAGTTTTTTGTTTTTACATAAGTGGCTATAATGTGGGAGTATCTCCATCTTCTTAATTAAGGCTACATTTATAAACACATTTGACAAAACAAATGGGCAAGATAACTTTGAATTATCAATCAACGCATTATATGTCAATCCTTCAATTGAAGTTTTTTGCAACTCCTCTGGCCATTCCTCTCTGCATTGATGTGCATGTTACATAACATCAGGGACAATCTACAGCGTCTTTTATTCTCCCTGATAACACGTAATACATTCATCTCATCAAACCTTTTCATGACCCAATCTTAGATTGAATATTACACTGGACACGAGGAATGACAAATGCAAACCACTGATTGCTATTTATCTTTGACACCCCCAGGTGCAGGGCTGAATTTTATTAAGTTATTTTGCATAGTCTAGGTGAAACTTGTAATAAAGTAATGAACTGAGCATCAAGGGAAGGACTTATATGATTGCTGTAAAATATGACTAAAATACTACATATACATAATTGATCTACTCTGTAGTACCTAACTCATCCTCGATAATCTCCAGGGTATACTTTCCGATAAATCTCTAATAGTACCATGGATGCATTTATGACTCAGCCCGATAATTTTATTACCTGAGTACCTCCTTTTGCTGGATCCCCCTTCTCACAATAGCCAATCAGATAAGTTGTTAAAACTGAGATTGCCAGTGTTAGCAAAGATGGCAGTTCACTCACTCACTCACAGCAGCCACGAAGGTTTGCTCTGTGTGCGACTCAGATTTAGGGAAGAAATCATACAGACAAATTGACAGGTCTAAAACCTTCAAAAATATATGCAAGAACTCCTTCTACCCCTTTCAAGGTACCTCAACAATTGTGTTGCCAAGTTTAATCCGTTTGATGAAAGAAGCGGAAGTGAGTTATGATAGAAGCCTTATGATTGGTATGCTCAACTTCCCCAGGATCATGAAAGTGGCAGTTTGGATAAAAAATCAGCAAAGGGATGTAATGAAGTTATTGAGCTGAGCTGTAGACACATCCAGGGTACTAGTGAAGATTTATCTGAATGTATACCCTTGAGATTGTCGAGGATTAATTCACTGTTCATACATAATTTTTCCTTATCCTGACTCATGATCTTTTGCTTATCTCCCATTCCCTGGCGAATAGTAGTGGAACACTTGAGTCCTTTGTAGTTCGTTAAAATACACTCACCCACAAGTTACCTCCCTTTTCCCGCGCAAACAGTCATGTGACCAGCTTTACTTGTCACTCTCTCCCTTTTCGCCCTAGCGAATGGTTGGGCGAGCACTGGAGTCCCGTATACGGCACCATATTCTTTAATATTTAGATCTTATTTATCAAAATTACGCTGTGTATGGTATTTGGCTATAACTATCATGTATTAATTGTATAAAATTTGAAGAAATTATTGTAATTTATGACACATTTTCATCGTAATGTAAATTGTTTACATTTCATGAAATCTTGCATTGTTTGCAGGCACCGGCTATCAGTGGCTGATCCTCACTCCCAATGCCCATCGTGCATTAAGCCATGTTCTTCCACCTCATGTTGTATATATTGCAGTGGTTTATCAAATTTGCAATTTAATCAGTATTTGTCTTATATCTATAGACGTGCCATGGATCGGGTGAGGAAGTCATCACAAGTCACGGTTGATAAACCTGGAGATCAAGCTGGTAACAGTAGGTTGCTTGCTACTGCAGAAATACATAATTCTGGTGCTATGTTGAGTACGTTGCAGGGGCAGTCGTCTGTTATGGGGTCGAAAAAGAGGTCTGCTACGACAGAGTTGATGCCCTCTCAGAGCAAGAAAAAGAATACTGCTTCATCCACAACGCAGAAAAGGGCATCCTTAACTAGGTCTACATCGAAATCTACATGACCTAGCAAGTCAACTCATCAGAGGTCGTTTAATGAGGACATTATCCTACCGCTCGAGGCAGACGTGTTTGATGAACCACCATTACTTCTGCCTGAAGTACCTACTAGATCGGCGATGCAGTCAACCTCCACGACTACTAGATCGTCTCCTGCAACTACAACAGCGGGCCAGCTGTTTGATGACCAACCACCAACTTCTCAACGCAGTGAAGTTGAAGCACACAACACATCAGCGGCCATGATGGAACGATGTTTTTGATGAGGAAGCTTACTTTATGAGGCAATTTACTACAGATATGATGGCCTCTCATCAACGGACAACGTCGACAGAATCCCTCAGACCTACGCTTAACCTAATCGCCGTGACCGAATCACGCCTCACAGATCTACATCTGCAGACAACATTGGCGAATGTGTATGTTCGAGAAGGTCATCACAATCGGACGACTCAGTCATCATAGAACAAGATGGAAGGTTCGCGAAGGCTACTAACTCTACAAGAACTTCGTCTGCGAACATTCAATGTTCGTGAACGCCTAGGAATCCATCCCGAAGAGCCAGCCGTTCCAGATCTAGATCCCACAGCTCTCACACGCGAAGGCAAGGTTTTCGCAATAAGGAAGTTCGCGAAGGCAGGGTTCGTGAGAGACTAGTTCGCGAAGGGATATGAGACATGAGACAGAGGTTCGCGAAGGGATGAATCAGGAGACAGACGTTCGTGAAAGGATGAATCACGACATTCGCGAAAGGAAGTTTCACACATGGGGATTCGCGAAGGCATAGTTCTATGGAAAAAGAACTATCTGATGAGCATATCGACTACTTCTTCTCAGATACAGAGGTTACAGCTTGGATAGCTAATGGATTGAACTTAGAGTCTCCCTCCAAGGAATTGGATGAAGCTTACACATATAAGATGTGCAAGGACGACCATTCCTCCTATTGAGCCAATATCCAAGGTACCTTCGAACCTACACATATCTTTTGACAAAGCTACTAGATTCCAGAATCAACATCTGCCAGCATTTAATGTGAGGAAATTCCCCTTACATCACATGGACCCCTTTATGAGAGTGCCGGATTAAGATGAGAATATGAAACTGGTCAACGACTCTCGGAACAAGGTTTACCAGGTGGTCGAGAAAAGTTGTCCCAACTTGATACCCCAACGAGGAGATCCTTCTTCGGATTAGCGAGATCCAGAGCAATCAATGAGGCATTGATTTTAACAAGTTCCAGAACCCCAGTTCTGAAGAAGATAGGATGATATTATCTGCTCTGCTCACTCAGAAGAAGGACCAATACTTCATATCGTATCATTTGGCCTCAACGTCGGAGGGTCTCACCTTGTTACGGAGACAGGGTCTAATGGCATCGTGTTCCTGGAGTGACAAATTTACCCAACCGCTACTCCTTGGGCGGCGCCTACCATCTTCGTAGGAGAGATAGATGCAGCAGCTAAGGAAGCTACTCACGACTCAAGGGAAGTCATGATGATCAAGTCTATAGATACTCTAGCCAACGTCATACTTTCCAGAAATACAACAGCAAGTCAAAATATTCCATTATCCAGAAGGCTAAGGAGAAGAAATACTCCAGCTTCAGAGGCGGGAAAAGCTCTTTTCGTCGCCCATCCGGAAACTACAGAGGAAACTCAGCCAGAGGACGTACTCCCAGAGGTTTCAGAGGGGCTAGACGTTGAAATTGGGGTTCGGAACGACTGGATACTTCCACCCCCAGACGTTCCTTTACAACCATCGACAGTGGGTGGACGTCTACAAAGGTACTGGGAAAATTGGGGAATACTGGAGGACGACTACGTCTCACAAGTACTGCGAGAAGGGTACAGAGTGCAGCTCAAGGCCACACCACCGTTAACCCTCAGACCGCTGGTCTTCAACTATGCAGACGAGCAAGCAGACAAGCTACAAGAAGCCATCAACTCGCTTCTCACCAAGAATGCGGTAGAAAGAATAGATCAACATCATCTCACGCCAGTCTTCTAGTACCCAAGAAGAATTCCAAAGAGAAATTCAGGTTGATTTACAACATGCGGAAATTCAACCAAGACTATCTACTCAAACCGGAAAGGTTCAGAATGATCCATCTACCGTAACTCAGACTACTAATTAGTCCAGCAGACTATATGGCCAGCATAGACCTCAAGGATGCATATCTACACATCCCCATACATCTGGAATCAAGAAAATATCTACGATACCTATTCAGAGGTCAGCACTTCCAATGGAACATCCTACCGTTTGGAATATCGACGGCTCCGTGGCTATTCACAAGAATTACCAAGCCCATAGTCGCCTACCTACATCATCGAGGTCTACGCAATGCTTTTTATCTGGACGATGGCATACAGGTTCATCAAAGTGCCAATCAACTCAGTCATCAGCTGAACTTCACAATCAAGCTGCTCACGCAACTAGGATGGCTAGTGAACCTGATGAAGTCGGAGTTGGAACCAAAACAAGATCTGCAATTCCTGGGGATAAGATTCATCACAACACAGAATCGAATTGTGATCCCAGAAGATCGTTGGGTCAAGATACAAGCCATGATTCCTCAAGCAGTCATCTCTCCGTTAACACTACGAACATGGCAATGTCTACTCGGTCTACTAACCTCAGTGCAAGACTTGACTCGCACAGGAAGGTTACAACTACGGCTATTGCAACGATTCCTGGCAAAACATCTGGACAGCGGCGACCCTATCTCGCTACCAGAAAATCTCAAAGTGTACCTACTTTGGTGGACTCACAGGTTGAATGTCTGCGGAGGGACCTATTGACAAGAGCCGGTCTTCAAACACACATCTTTACACAGATGCATCACTACAGGGATGGGGTGCACATCTCAACAACCACGTTGCATCAGGAAAGTGGTCAAAAGCAGAATGGCATCTTCACATCAATCTGCTGGAAATGAAAGCTGTGATCAACGCCGTACAACTATGGTCGAGTTCGCTGAGCAACAGAATGCTGATGATCCACACGGACAACTCTACAGTGGCATTCTCCATAAATCGGCAAGGATCAACAAGATCGCCAAGCCTACTGCAGCTCACATTCCAGTTGTTCAACATCACAGAGGAGGCAAACATCTGGATAAAGGCATGTCACATACCGGGAGCCAAGAACGTACTAGCAGACACCCTTTCCCGACCACTTCATCCGTCACCCACATAGAGAATACTACACGAGGTCTCTTTACATACGAATTATACGAACGAGTGTCCTTCCTATGGTATCTGACCGGTTTAAAGCGCAGGTCAGATAACATAGGAAGGTCACGAAGCCTCAGATAATTCGTGATGTAATGAGACCGAAAGTGTGGTATTTTATTTATTACCCACGCCTTACATGCATTTAAATTGACAAAATAGCGTATTTTTGTTATGTTTTTGGTTTCAAACCTGAAACCGGTTTCATAAAGAGGTTGGCGGAAGAGTTTTGTACTGTAGTACAATATTTGCATGACGCCACACTGTAATGACGCCACTGCCTTGGTAACCGACGCCACGATGCATGTCAGTTGTCATCACCGCACAGCCTCCTACAGTAAACTACTCCGCTGCACCTCGCTTCTTGGTTTCCAGTTGCTTCATTCGCTAACATCACTGGTGGAAACATTGGCGCTTATGTTTTTCGACGGATATAATGTCTCAGTTCGACTCACAATTAAACAGCTTTACACGGCAACGCTCGCAATGTTTACATTCCCACAATGCATTTAAGTTGTAGAATGAATGAATTCACGCGGTTTGTTATGAATGAAAAAATAGTTACGCCAGAATGTGACCTAATTGAGAGGTCATCGGTTATCCAATCAAATCGCTAGAATTTCAGGTCAAGTCGCTATTTACACAGGTCAACGCGATACGACACTCGCAGTGACGACGAGATTAATATGCAACTACCCATACGCTGACCAAATCTATGGGTTGTTATAGATAACTAGTGAAAAGAAGATACTAGTATATCTTAAGCCACATGAATCTAGAAGATTCACTCAGAGAGAAGTAAGACAAGATTGTGGTCCCCCCTGAGTTATAACGGACGTTGGAAGAACAGGATCTAGGAAATGCCATTACGCAGTTCCCATGGGGGGGATACAGGACGTATCTAAGGACAGCTGTTGAATCCAGGAACTGGCTTGACCCTCCACCAATCCATAGGATTCTATAAGCAAAAGATCATGAGTCAGGATAAGTAAAAATATTCAATTTTTAAGTAAAATTGATATTTTATATTTATCCTGACTCATGAGGAGAAGCCCTCCCAACCTCCCCGCTGGAAACACTTCAGATTTCACAGTAGATCCAGGTGCATGGGCAGGAAAATCAGGAGAGAGTGACAAGTAAGGCTGGTCACATGACTGTGAAAAAGGGAGGTAACTCGTGGGTGAGTGTATTTTTACGTCCGCGTCGGAAACTACAAAGGATTCAAGTGTTCCATTACCATTCGCAAGGGAAAGGGAGATAAGCAAAAGATCATGAGTCAGGATAAGTATAAAATATCAATTTTACTTAAAAAATTACATTTTACTCACATGTATGAATTTGCATGGTGAATGGTTTTCATAAGCAAAATCTGATAAATTATGAGCATTGAAGGGGATTCCCTGGTTTTCAACGCGGCATTCCCTTGCTGGTCTGAAACCCAGTTTGTTGGGTGACTGATGCCAATTGGAATCAGGTCATTATGCACATTATGTTATGTGGGCTAGTAAAGATTGTGCTGGCTGGACAACTAAAACATGGGTTTTGTTTTCCTTTATTGTTTAAGCACATATGAAATGGATTATTTGTTCCAAAATCGGATTCATTTTTTTTTTTTAATTTTAAGACTATTTTATCAGACTATGTTCACAGGCAGAAAGCAAAATAGGTATGTATTCATTTTGGTATTGAATCATGGGTTAAGTTTCAAAGTCCTTTAACTCCTTAATGTACCTTGAACAGAAAAAAAGGGTCTAAGATACCAGATTCAGCTATTTTTTCACTTTTGAAACAAAATAACTTATGTTATGTTTGGGATTACACTTTCTCAGTAAAGTAAAATTCTAGTACCTTTGTCAGGGGATTCAAACCTACACTCTCAGAGTCAGGCACTTAATTGCCTCTGCACAAAGTCAGTGATCAAACCCAACAGCCTCCGCAGCTTGGAAATATAATGGTATGAACATCTGTAAAAAAAAATGAATATCAGTTAATTATCTCAGATTTCAGACAGGTAGTGTCATGTTTTAACAATGCCAGATTTATTTTTGTTAAAATTCCTTGATCTAAAATATGTAATATAACAATATCATTCCTTTTGTTTAAGCGCTATGGTTGGCATGGAGTTGACAATGAAAACATCCAAAAGAATATTGACAATGCAGTGGGCCGCTATCCATGGCTGAAAAACTTCCGAGACAGGAGTGTGACGGAGCTAGAGTTCATTCACGGGCATCTCAACAGTCCAGGAGATCTCCCAGCATGCATCTGTTTCAGAGACAAGGTAGGGAGACTTAGTATCATTCAGGGGCTGTCCATTTAATATTCTGAGGTGAGGAGGAGAAGTGTCAATGTCAACATATTCAGTCAGTACCATAAAAGGGGCATGAATTAGCATGGTTACACATTAATAATTTGATAACAATTATACTGTACCTATTGCATTGAACATGTTGCATTGTCATGAATTTGAGAGAACATTATATCATGGTAGAGTTTCAGTCTGCAAGCACAAATACTTGCATGTATTTTCAGAGATATGATGAAGAGAGGGCATCAGAGCTGGAAACCTCAGGTGATGAGAAAGGAGCTAAGAGGTTCAAGAGTGAGGGGGATGAGGCTTCAAGCAGACTAGCATCTCTGCGGAAAAGGGTATATGACACCAGAGACAAGGTAACAGACATGGTATAAACTGTGTTACACATCACCAGGGACAATGTAATGGACATGGTATAAACTATGTTACACATCACCAGGGACAATGTAATGGACATGGTATGGAACTGGTATAAACACATCACCAGGGACAATGTAATGGACATGGTATGGACATGGTATCACCAACTGTTATCACCAGGGACAACATAAAACTGGGTTACACATCACCAGGGACAATGTAATGGACATGGTATCAACTGGGTTACACATCACCAGGGAATGGACATGGTATAAATGTAATGGACATGTTATCAACTGGGTTACACATCACCAGGGACAATGTAATGGACATGGTATAAACTGTCACCAGGGTTACACATCACAGGGACAATGTAAGGGACAATGTAATGGACATGGACATGGTATAAACTGTGTTACACATCACCAGGGACAATGTAATGGACATGGTATAAACTGGTTGTTACACATCACCAGGGACAATGTAATGGACATGGTATAAACTAATGGACATGGTTACAATGTAATATCACAAGGGACAATGTAATGGACATGGTATAAACTGTGTTACACATCACCAGGGACAATGTAATGGACATGGTATAAACTGTGTTACACATCAGGGACAAAGTAATGGACATGGTATAAACTGTTTTACACATCACCAGGGACAATGTAATGGACATGGTATAAACTGTTATGTAACATCAGGGACAAAGTAATGGACATAGTCACCTATTCTGACAAAATGTGCACCAACTGATAACTGGAAATGATAAATAGATCACATAGATTACATCCTTAAAAAATCTCTACAAGTTAAAACCTGTGAAGCATCATGGTGAGAAATTGGCTGAAATTTAGTGGCTATGAGATTGATATTGTATTGTCCCAACATAAAACTGCAAATAAGGAATACTATCTAATGAATACATATATTTTTATAATTATATAGTCATTTTCATGGGGTAACGTAGATTACACTTTTTTGGAGACATCACATTAAACATTAATTCTAAAAAAAAAAAAAAAAAGATGAAGACATGTTCTGGGTATGGACAAAAGGGACAGTACCTTATGTCGAAAATGTAACCTGTTTTGTTCACACTAGATGACTATTTACTTTGAAATATTCACTCAAAATGTTATACTATCTTTGGAGACATGCACATTTTGGTGAGTTTGACTAACTTTTTACCCTGAGTCACACGCATGAATAACAGATCATTAACAATTTCTATGGATTGGGTACCTACTAAAAAAAAAAGCCTGTCGCCTAATATAAACATGAAATGAACAAGTGAAATCAGTAAAAAAAAGGTTTTTTAAAGCGGAGACACGTAAACTTAAAAATGGTGCACATTTCGTGAGAATAGGTGAGTATGTTACACATCAACAGGGACGATGTAATGGACATGGTATAAACTGTGTTATGTAACATCAGGAACAAAGTAATGGACATGGTATTAACTGTGTTACCTCTGAGAAAACAGTGGTATAATATTATGTCATCTTAGACTGCTGAATGCCTGTTATATGGCATATCTTACAATATACAATGCCGTCCGGTAATTCCGCGCACCTAAGCACATCGATCACAATACGGCAAATGACGTCTCTTATTTTTGTGCTTTACGTGACTAAACATGTTGGTATGCATCATATTTACCTAGAAATATAAGTTTTACTGACGACTATAAGATTCTAACGTTGCATTATGCCATACGGTTGACCTTACCGGCGTTCTGACGACATCGCTTGCTGTCCGGTAATTCTGCGCAGCAACTGATGCGCATGACATCCAGCTGGTGATCCGAAGTATGGAAGCGTATTAGGGCCAGATTATTTTCAAAAATCACTTCATCAATGTAAGGAAGAGTGTTTCATATTAAATCCAATTATGAATAATGAAGAAAAAGGTTTAAAAGTTTTAAGAAAACAAATTTTCATAAAACTGTGAATTTATCTGTCAATTACTGTTATTTACTTACCTTAAGTGATTAAAAGCCAGTCCCTTGTAGAAATGTCCCGATTTCAAGCATAAATGTGGTAGCAGACGATGTTTACCTTCGATACGGAAGTATGCTATTGCAGCTGCGCAGAATTACCGGACTCGTGTAATTACCGGACTCGCTTGTATGTGTGATGACTCTGGATGTATTTATGTCTACTGTTGAAGACAGTTTAAATATTTTGGTGAATATGCTGTTACAGTTAATTCATTGCTGAGTGGTCCCAGGTATAAAGTGAATTGTACCCATGTGTGAGCATTTGTACCCTGAACTTATTGAGATTAATGGAAGCAGATTTCAGCAACTAAGAATGTTTTCTTTGGAAACAGCACACCTTTCCAATGAGTTATTTAATTGTGGGAAGGCTTCTTTGCATATTCAGACATGGAAGTAAGGGTTTATTAGAGACCATCTGATGACAGACATGACCAGTATGTTGATTAAATTGTTGTCCAATACTTATTTCAATGTCATGTTGATTGGTGTTGACAGACATTGGCTGTGCACATGGACTATCTCAACCCCAAAGAAGTAAGTGCAGCTGAATTTTCGGATGCTTTCTTTTTGAGTTGAATGTTTTGAAATAGTCTTCTGAAATGTATTATTAATTTTATAAGTATTAATCAAATCTTTTGATGCTATATCTCTCTTGTTTACTGACACATTGCTATAATTGTCTACTGACTAATTGCTATAATTGTCTACTGACACATTGATGGTATTATCTACTGACACAGTGTTAGTATTGTCTACTGACACAATGCTGGTATTATCTACTGACACAATGCTGGTATTATCTACTGACACAGTGCTGGTATTATCTACTGACACAATGCTGGTATTATCTACTGACACAATGCTAGTATTATCTACTGACACAGTGTTAGTATTATCTACTGACACAATGCTGGTATTATCTACTGACAATGCTGGTATTGTCTACTGACACATTGCTGGTATTGTCTACTGACACAATGCTGGTATTATCTACTGACACAGTGTTAGTATTATCTACTGACACAATGTTAGTATTATCTACTGACACAATGCTGGTATTATCTACTGACAATGCTAGTATTGTCTACTGACACATTGCTGGTATTGTCTACTGACACAATGCTGGTATTATCTACTGACACAGTGTTAGTATTATCTACTGACACAATGCTGGTATTATCTACTGACACAATGCTGGTATTGTCTACTGACACATTGCTGGTATTGTCTACTGACACAATGCTGGTATTATCTACTGACACAATGCTGGTATTATCTACTGACACAGTGTTAGTATTATCTACTGACACAATGCTGGTATTATCTACTGACACAATGCTGGTATTATCTACTGCTGGTATTGTCTACTGACACAATGCTGGTATTATCTACTGACACAATGCTGGTATTGTCTACTGACACAATGCTGGTATTATCTACTGACACAATGTTAGTATTATCTACTGACACAATGCTGGTATTATCTACTGACACAATGCTGGTATTGTCTACTGACACAGTGCTAGTATTATCTACTGACACAATGCTGGTATTATCTACTCTATGCAGGTAGTATTATCTACTGACAATGCTGGTATTGTCTACTGACACATTGCTAGTATTGTCTACTGACACATTGCTGGTATTGTCTACTGACACAATGCTGGTATTATCTACTGACACAGTGTTAGTATTATCTACTGACACAATGCTGGTATTATCTACTGACAATGCTGGTATTGTCTACTGACACAATGCTGGTATTGTCTACTGACACAATGCTGGTATTGTCTACTGACACAATGTTGGTATTATCTACTGACACAATGTTAGTATTATCTACTGACACAATGCTGGTATTATCTACTGACACAATGCTGGTATTATCTACTGACACAATGCTGGTATTATCTACTGACACAATGCTGGTATTGTCTACTGACACAATGCTGGTATTGTCTACTGACACAATGCTGGTATTGTCTACTGATACAATGCTGGTATTGTCTACTGACACAGTGTTAGTATTATCTACTGACACAATGCTGGTATTATCTACTGACACAATGCTGGTATTGTCTACTGACACAATGCTGGTATTGTCTACTGACACAATGCTGGTATTGTCTACTGACACAATGCTGGTATTATCTACTGACACAATGCTGGTATTACCTGACACAATGCTGGTATTCTACTGACACAATGCTGGTATTGTCTACTGACACAATGCTGGTATTGTCTACTGACACAATGTTGGTGGTATTGACACAATCTACTGACACAATGCTGGTATTATCTACTGACACAATGCTTGGTATTATCTACTGACACAATGCTGGTATTATCTACTGACACAATGCTGGTATTGTCTACTGACACAATGCTGGTATTGTCTACTGACACAATGCTGGTATTGTCTACTGACACAATGCTGGTATTATCTACTGACACACAATGCTGCTGGTATTTGGTATCTACTGACACAATGTTAGTATTATCTACTGACACAATGCTGGTATTGTCTACTGACACAATGCTGGTATTGTCTACTGACACAATGCTGGTATTGTCTACTGACACAATGCTGGTATTGTCTACTGACACAATGCTGTATTGTCTACTGACACAATGCTGGTATTGTCTACTGACACAATGGTGGTTTTGTCTACTGATACAATGCTGGTATTATCTACTGACACAGTGCTAGTATTATCTACTGACACAATGCTGGTATTGTCTACTGACCCAGTGTTAGTACCATCTACTGACACAATGCTGGTTTTGTCTACTGACACATTGCTAGTTTTTTTTGATAGACACATTGCTAGTATTGTACACTGTTACAAAGCTGGTATTGTCTACTGACACAATGATTGTTTTGTCTACTGTGACAATGCAATGTTATCTTCTGACACATTGCTAGTATTGTCTACTGTAACAATGCTGGTATTATCTACTGACACAATGCTGGTTTTGTCTACTGACACAATGCAGGTTTTGTTATGTCTACTGATTATTACTGTTGTTGTATCGTGGAACGTGTCCCTGCAGGGAGTGGAGCACATGTTCACAGCTATCTGGGAGCACCTGAACAATGTGCTGCTGGCCAGAGATGGGGATGAGGAAGAGTCTGACAGGCTGCTAGAGCTGGCTGACCATAATGCTTTCATGGCATCCAGACAGGCTCTGTACATCGGCGGTGACCACTACTTCCAGCAACTCAGCACAGTTCTGTCCTCAGGTAAGCAAAGCAGTCTGGAAGTATCACAGATACGTTTTCAAAACAGGACCTAAGTTACAATTCAAATATTATGGAAATGATCATTCATAGTTTTCATGTTTTTTTTTCCCTTTGTGCTGCAACCATGAAAAATGAAAACATATGTTGTGAGATCCAATTTAAACTGATATGCACTTAATATTCATGCTGAAATATAAGCAATTTTGAATCAGTTGACAGCATATATGAACAATAAGAATCAACCTGTGAAAATCTGGGTTAGTATTGGTCTTGAGGAACCCATGCTTGTCGTAAGAGTGGACTAATTGGATGGGGTGGTCAGGCTTGCTGACTTGGTTGACCATGTCATCGTATCCAAATTGCCCAGATCAGTGCTCAAGATGTTATTTTCAAACTTTTTAATCTCGTCTTGTACTCTCTCGCGTCTTGTACTCTCTCTCTCTTCAATTCGACCTGCTGAGTGGAAACGAACTGCAAATAAAATCCTAGGCCCATTCATACACCCATGCACTCCATGCTGCCCCTTTATAAGGCAGTCTGGGTGACTCCTGGGAAGCATGCTGCACGCACCACTACCTGGTCATGTTACTTCTCGCCTTTGTTTGACTTTTCCATCTTCTACAGATCTTAGACCATCTATTGCTACTCCTCAGCATGCTTTGATTCAGCAAATCTGTTAAGTTCGTTGAACCCTACTGCACCTACACAGACGTTCAGACAGCAGTTTTCTACCTGGCCTCTTGGTTCGTTGGAGCCTACTTTACTTACTTCTGGGATGCCCCCCAAGACACTCAACCCACGTCGAACCTTGACTTCGATCTTATGGTTTGGGCTATGCCAGCCACCTTTAAGACAGGAATCAGGTTAAGCAATGGTAGATTTGACACACATGCTCGCTTGGTTCGCCAATCACCTGTAGCTATCTAAGAGCTTGATACTGGATGTTCTACTTACTATGTTTCTACATGAAGGATAGGGACTTGTCGACGCTGATTTTACCTCCTCGTCCCTGTTTTACCCAGTTGGCAGGTAACTTAGATACAGCGTTTAAGTATCTTCAGAGAGTGCGAGACGGCATCTCTTCACCGTAGTGTATCGTCACTATTGCACACACCTATGGATTTGAAACTTGGCGATCTCTCCACCATAGATGATGACACAGCTGCACTCTGCAAACAGGAACAACACTCCATTCTTCATCTTGGATTGTGAACTTGCATTTTAGTATGGCCATTTGACAAACCTTACCAGCTATCTACGTGATGATTATACACTAAGGACATTTGTAATGCGCTGAATTCCACATCTCGGCATGGCATGCTCGAGCACTACAATCTGATTATTTTACTCCGGATAACCTTGGCTACCTGTGAGGCAATAGAAGATTACTTATCCCACAAGACTTATCCCACTGGGTACCCCATTTCTGTTGGGTGAACGAAGGCAGTAGCTATGTCAGTAGCACAGGCATTTAAGGTTACGCTCGTCACAAGATTCCGGATATTCGAGACTCATTCGTAGCCGGGACTCGTCGCATTCCAGATTTAGACAACCATCCGGTGCTCACCTTTGACGAACGATTCAGTTCTATGAACCTACCCTTCGCCACGGATATCAGCTCTACAACCACTTTTATGCATTACAGGAATATTTTACGAACACTTCACTGGGTCCTGTAACTACAGACAACTCGTAATATCGCTCTGGTGTATCCCTGGGGGCAACCATGGCTTGGCTTGTCATCTTCATCATTGTTTTTATATAAAATCCATCATTACCAAGCTACTGGACAGATTGTTCAAGATTCAACACATGGTACCAGCAGTGATGTTTTGTCAAGTAGTTAGCATCCCTTGTCCGGATTTTAATGTGATGTGACTCGCCTGGTTAACTGAGGACTGTGTTGTCCGGATTTTTTGTCACTGTTGTATTGTGGGTAATAGCCTGCAAATGGCAGACTACTATTTATTTACCTGGGAATTGGATGATCTGAGTGACTATGAAGTGCCCTGACAGATTTTCTTGGTGCGGATTACAATCCCAGCCTTTATTTGCCAGTGACGATGATTGTTCCCATTGCCGGCAGAGCCAAACTCAGTACCTCTACCCAACCAAGACAACCTTCTACTTCATCCTCACCCGGGTTGTTGCCACTGATCTCCACAGATCCTAAATCTGCATGTTTGGCGCATCTCCAGAAGTCTCTCATAGCTAAGGGTTACTCTCATAGAGTTGCCTCTCGCTATCACTTCGGCATATCGTAAATCCACTCGTTCCTTATTCGATGACCAGTGGAAGAGGTTTGAACGTTATTGTAAAGTGAGGGTATTTCATCCCCTACTTCTGCTTCTGCTTCTGCTTCTGCTCAGTTCATCACAGAATTTCTTCAGCACTTACGCTCTACAAAGAAACTAAAGGGTACTATTTAGTCACGTATCTGGCTGCCATCAACTCGGTTTTGGCTTGTATGAAACTCCTTAAAAACCAGGAAGCCCACAGGTCTGATAACTGAAACATGTTGCTGGCCCTGTTAACATGTAACCAGCCCTGTATTAAAAATAGGAAACTGAGATAAGGTGTTAAAATAATGTAATTAATGAAGTACACTGCCATCTGGATCAGAACAACCGGCAAAGTCAGAATCAATCTCAGTATCTTTGGCAAGAATGTTCTCTACATGTTCTTCTTGCAATTAGCACAGGGGATTTGTAACTCTCCCTGTGAAAAGTAAACATGTGCAACATCAAATTTAACAAATACAACTTGGTCACTCTTAATTCAGTCAGTATCACTATCATCTAGATCGGAAAAATCAGAGGCAAAGTCAGAATCAATCTTGGGAACATATCTGATCATTCGCAACCTCTTCGGGTGATCTTGTCCGTTGTTAACGGCAGACAATGTTGCTCACGGAAATATTCGAAGATGTGTGATTGTTACATACTATTAGAAAAGAACAACATTGTTCATTGGCTGAAAGCATTCTCTGGACCAATCACATTTAGTGTTAGTGGAATGGGTAGGCTGATCTGTGGAAGTTTTGGTTTGGTTGATCTTGAACTATACAGATGTCATCTAGCTACCACAATTGGCCCCAAGGTCTGGCTATAAAATAAAGTTGTAAGCCTGCCATGTAACTAGCAAGCAGCGGGCCGCCGGGCAAACGTTATTTCATACACTGCTACTGGTGTTAAGGTCTCCACTGTTCCTGAGCTCTATCTCCTATGCTCGTACAGATATATGGATCAGTCTAGGAAGGTCCGGGCTCCGGCTTGGGAGCTTTCTGTTGTCCTTTGGCACCTTGTATCCAGTGACTATGAGCCTCTTCAGGAGAAGGACTTCGAGCACGTCACATGTAAAACCTTCTTACTAGTAGCTTTGGCTACTGCAGCTTGTATATCTAAACTTCATGTGCTTGATGTCAATTGGGTGAGGTTCAAACGGAATAGGCATGGCAAGGTGTTTCTGGGGTCTCCGTTTGGACTTTGTGGCTAAGAACCAGCTGCCAGGACAGCCAGATCGGTTGTTTACAATCCCCTCATTGTCCACCATCTTTGGGCCTGATGATTATGAAGACTTGACACTCTCTCTGTGAGGGCACACCGGATCTTTCTTGCTGCCTCCCAAGATCGTCGAAGACTACCGAAGTGTTTGTTCATCCCGTTGTCAACTGCCTCCAGAGCCGAAGTCTCCCGGACTAGCCTGTCCTTTTGGATGCGCTCTACAGATAATAATACACAGATTATTTACGTTGCTCCAAGACTGAGGATGACTAAGGAGAGATGGTTACGTGAGCAGGTAGTGGGGTGTGCTGCACGCTTCCCAGGAGTCACCCAGACGTCCTTATAAAAGGGCAGCATGGAGTCTTGGGCATATAGACAAGTGAGGCCTAGGATTTTATTTGCAGTTCGTTTCCACTCAGCAGGTCGAACTGAAGAGTGAGAGAGTACAAGATGTAAGATAGGATCAGTGAGATAGGATAAGTACATAAATATACAATTTATAGTTAAATTTTCCAAGATTACTAAATTGTCTGGGCCAGACTTGATCATTTAGAGACCACTGTCATATAGCTAGAATATTGTTGAGTGCAGCATTAAACAACAAACAAACAAAACAGACATAATATAAATCATAGTGCCGGGATCAGAATAATGCTTACCGGATATTACCGTAGATAAGCCAAATTTTGAGGAAAAAAAGGCAGCCTGTAGAAGGGGGTCAGCTTATGTACGGGTAACACTTTCGTCAAACTGTTTTTCTGGTGACCAGTTAGAAAATGACATCAATAGGTTTTTAATAATTGGAGTTATCAAATTCTTCACATTTCCCATTTAATTAATCATGGTGCCATGGCACACCAACTATTATATTTTACCGATCACTGTGTCAAAATGAATTCTGTTATATTATTGGGTATGTTTTAACTAGATCACCGGAAACATGCGCATATAATACAATGCCCAGCAAATGCAAATTAGAACTGAAAACGTAAATAATCTTGTCCAGTGATGTTTAACTGCAAATTTGACATTTACTGACAAAGTCGTTTTCTCTTGTTCATTCACATGAAACGATACTTCGGCACCCCATCAAACGGTTTAACGGCGGCACTCTCAATCTTGCACTTAACATGGGTGTGGCCATTTTGAATGCCAGTGTGCATAACAGGAAACCCATTTGGGCTGATAACATAGTTTATGGGTCAGTATATTTGTCTGGAAAAAATCAACCTGAACTATTCTTGCAGTCATGATGGTGTTCTAGAAATCCAGCTCTCAAGATCACAGGTTTATATGATGTTTACTGATTTATAAAATAGTCAATTGAAATGACAATTGTTGTAATGTTTTAAGTTTCGTCATCATGTCATCAAGAAGTGTGGGCACACTTATTTTCACAAAGACAAACTTAAGTTAACTGACTGGTGCCATATGGCACCCTTTGAAAAAAATTGCATTTCTATCCCTGTAGTGTCAGCCTTCAGATTTACAGTATTTTTTGTTGAGCATGATCATGTTCAAAGGGAATGGAATATTTTCGTTTAAAGTAGTGTATGTTTCATGTTCTGATGACAGATGTACCGGTAAGTGAGAAGGTTGTCCTGGTAGCAGAAGCAGGCCAGGGGAAGTCATCACTCCTGGCCAACTGGGTCTCTCGGGCCAAGGACTCACATCCAGCAGCCATTATAGCCTACCACTTCATTGCCGCCAGTAAAGAAAGTAGCAGTAAGTCAACACTGATTTCAGCAATAGAGCTCCATGCATTAATACTTTCTGAAATCCTGATTTATTAACTCAGATTTTCATGAAATCACAGTAATAACAGCTCCTGAATTGGGACATCAGAACTATATATATGTTGTAATGTTTCCTGAAATTCCAAAAGCTGAGCTCCATGTAGTAACTCTTTCTCAATTTGGACATCAGAGCTCCATGTAGTAACTCTTCCTCAACTTGGACATCAGAGCTCCATGTAGTAACTTTTCCTCAATTTGGACATCAGAGCTCCATGTAGTAACTCTTTCTCAATTTGGACATCAGAGCTCCATGTAGTAACTCTTCCTCAACTTGGACATCAGAGCTCCATGTAGTAACTCTTCCTCAATTTGGACATCAGAGCTCCATGTAGTAACTCTTCCTCAATTTGGACATCAGAGCTCCATGTAGTAACTCTTCCTCAATTTGGACATCAGAGCTCCATGTAGTAACTCTTCCTCAATTTGGACATCAGAGCTCCATGTAGTAACTCTTTCTCAATTTGGACATCAGGCTCCATGTAGTAACTCTTTCTCAATTTGGACATCAGAGCTCCATGTAGTAACTCTTCCTTGGACATCAAGGCTCCATGTAGTAATTCTTCCTCAATTTGGACATCAGAGCTCCATGTAGTAACTCTTCCTCAATTTGGACATCAGAGCTCCATGTAGTAACACTTCCTCAATTTGGACATCAGAGCTCCATGTAGTAACTCTTTCCTCAATTTGGACATCAGAGCTCCATGTAGTAACTCTTCCTCAATTTGGACATCAGAGCTCCATGTAGTAACTCTTTCCTCAATTTGGACATCAGAGCTCCATGTAGTAACTCTTTCTCAATTTGGACATCAGAGCTCCATGTAGTAACTCTTTCTCAATTTGGACATCAGAGCTCCATGTAGTAACTCTTCCTCAATTTGGACATCAGAGCTCCATGTAGTAACTCTTCCTCAATTTGGACATCAGAGCTCCATGTAGTAACTCTTTCTCAATTTGGACATCAGAGCTCCATGTAGTAATTCTTCCTCAATTTGGACATCAGGCTCCATGTAGTAACTCTTCCTCAATTTGGACATCAGAGCTCCATGTAGTAACACTTCCTCAATTTGGACATCAGAGCTCCATGTAGTAACACTTCCTCAATTTGGACATCAGAGCTCCATGTAGTAACTCTTTCTCAATTTGGACATCAGAGGCTCCATGTAGTAACTCTTCCTCAATTTGGACATCAGGCTCCATGTAGTAACTCTTCCTCAATTTGGACATCAGAGCTCCATGTAGTAACTCTTCCTCAATTTGGACATCAGAGCTCCATGTAGTAACTCTTCCTCAATTTGGACATCAGAGCTCCATGTAGTAACTCTTCCTCAATTTGGACATCAGAGCTCCATGTAGTAACACTTCCTCAATTTGGACATCAGAGCTCCATGTAGTAACTCTTCCTCAATTTGGACATCAGAGCTCCATGTAGTAACTCTTCCTCAACTTGGACATCAGAGCTCCATGTAGTAACTCTTCCTCAATTTGGACATCAGAGCTCCATGTAGTAACTCTTCCTCAACTTGGACATCAGAGCTCCATGTAGTAACTCTTCCTCAATTTGGACATCAGAGCTCCATGTAGTAACTCTTCCTCAATTTGGACATCAGAGCTCCATGTAGTAACACTTCCTCAATTTGGACATCAGAGCTCCATGTAGTAACTCTTTCCTCAATTTGGACATCAGAGCTCCATGTAGTAACTCTTCCTCAATTTGGACATCAGAGCTCCATGTAGTAACTCTTCCTCAATTTGGACATCAGAGCTCCATGTAGTAACTCTTCCTCAATTTGGACAATAGAACTCCATGTAGTAACACTTCCTGAATTCTGAAAGCAGAGCTCCATGTAGTAATTCGACCTGAATTTGGACAAGAGACATCCAAGTAGTAACACTTACTGAATTCTGACAGCAGAACTCCATGCAGTAACTCGACCTAAATTTAGACAAGAGACATCCAAGAAGTAACACTTTCTGAATTCCGACAGCAGAGCTCCATATAATGAAGTAACTGTTTCTGAATTATGACTTAAAACTTGTTTCTAGAAGTGATGAACTGAGATGATAAATAACAATTACTGTCAACTTGACCCTATATTTTTACAGAGAAAAAAAACATCTTGAAACGGTTGACAACAGAAATCACAGAGGCTCTACCAGAAAAGAAACAGGAATCCTCGGAATCAAAGAATACAGAGAGTGAGGAAAACATACCTGCTGGAGAAGACACAGGGAAGAAAAAGGGTCAGTCTGAAGTAACCTTGAAAGACACAGGTCAGGGTCCAAAGGGCAGAGTTGAAAGTTCAAAAGAAAAAGGTTCAAAGAACAAGGCTGATACAAATTACAATTCTGAAAAGGACCAGATAAAAAATGAGAAGGCGAAGAATATACGTGAAATGATGACTCTTCTGATTGGAGAACTAGAGAGAACAAGGACAGAAAAAAGGATGGTTGTCTTGGTGATTGATGGACTAGATAGGGTAGAAGAGACAAGCGGTAAAGTTGCTAAGGTATGTTGTAAAGTTTTGAGCTCTAACTTGTTGTCTTTAAGTGATGTTTCTGTAGATTTGATAATGACTTCTGCTAAGTATATTTCAAATTCATGTACTAATTGTAGAAAGAAGAAACCAAAATGGCAAGATATTGGAAGTTGTTCTCACAAACAAAAACATTGCGAGTTTATTTATGTGCCTTTCAGTTATGGCAGCCAAAGAAAGTTAACAAATTTTTCCTTATCCTGACTCATGCTTTTTTGCTTGTCTTCTTCTTCTTTGCGAACACAGTGGAACACTTGTATCTCCCAATTGAAGTTCCCTTCAATGTAAAATCACTAATTAGTACTCACCATGAGTTATCTTTCCCCTCGAAAGCGCGGGAACGAGGGCGCCACCTCTCACCATGTGCCTCACTCTCTCCTTCTTCGCCCAGTGAGCTGGACGTGAGAGCGTCTGTGTCTCCTTACACACTATATCCTTTATTTATATTTAGTTTGGTACCTCTTATATTCATCTATAGAGGTGTAACTAGTATCCTTATTCAACATGCATTCATAATTATTCGTGTTTCTGCTGCTTTATTCACGGTTCACCGTGCTTGCTCAGCAGTTTACGTTAATGAAAATCTGCACTGTTTGTAAATTACGTTACTCTGCTACCGATCCGCATTTAAGATGCCCTAGTTGCATATCTCCATGCTCTATTGTTTCACGCTGCAAATTATGTATTAATTTGTCTAATTCTGCCTTTGATAAATATTTATATTCCGTCTTGTGACCGATGGCAGATAGATCTCGGGAAACAATCTTCAGTCATGGCTAATAGATCGGAGTCAGATATATCCTGAGTTACCTTCGGGGCATAAGCGTGGGACGCAGTTCGCTATATCCTAGAAGCGACCTGCATCCCAGGACGTTCCTTCATCACAATCTAAGACTAGAAGAGCTTCCACGTCGTCTCAACGTACGCTCCGAACCCCCAGGTCTACAGCTTCGTCAAAAGGGAAATCCACGAAGGCTACTAAAAAGGCTACTAAAAAACTTTGCTTCTGATATTCAGAATTATGTTTATATGATGATGACATTCCGATTATCATTCCAGATGTACGTCATAAGAAGTGACCGGTATCGGCTACCGTCACTTCAGCGCAGATCAACATGCAACCAGAGATGCCTACGCTGACGCCTGAGATTATAACTGAGGGTCCCGTCACTATCACAGAGAGGACACCCTCAACGCCAGCGCAGACCATCCCAGACGACCTGGTCAACCAAATCACGAGACTGATGGAGGACCGTTACGGTTTACAGAGGCCCCAGAGCCACGGGCCCCAGAGCCCAACCCATAATAAGTCATACAGGGCCCCAGAGCCTGCCTTGACTTCGCGTAGGGCCCTAGAGCCCACAAACGCGCCTCCGCGAAGGACAATCCAGCCCGTAGCGAACACTTCCCAGGCCGCCTCCGCGAAGGAGCTAGAGCCTCACCAGTTGCGAGGGACAGGCTTCATCGGAGGAGGAGTGCTTCGCCGAGCCCACACCCTGTAGAACACAGAGGTCTTTCGCGAAGCAAGCGCTCATATATTGATCGGACTCTGACTCGATACTTTCGCGAAGGCTAAGTGGCTCCAAGTCTACTTCACCCAGAAGATCTAGAAGGGATACACCCGAGAGCTTCACGAAGCCACCATCGTTTCGCCAAAGGAAGTCCACGAAGGTCTCTCCCTATCGAAGCCGAAGTCTCCTCCAAGGTCTCCATATACTAGCCACTACAGGTCATATATAGCCACTCGTCCCAGTCTGTTCAAGTATCCAGCGCCGCATGAGTTGTCTATCAACTGTATGCCATATGCCGTCTACAAGCCTACAGGCGAAGACAATTGCACAGGCTATTTACAACACAGAACGCTGTATAATTTTATCAACAGATGAAGAGCCTAATTAAGGATCTTCAGGCCGACTACCTACATCAAGGGCATCAACGACGTTTCGTAGATCTTCACAGGAATCAACTTTTCGTATAGATTGCTAGGTATGCAATCTCGGACTACGATACGATTATCTACATGCGCATAGTCAACCATTACGCAGATCTGCAGACAATTCAATAACGAAATTGAACAGCAGCCTTGTTACAGCGAGTATAACTCATAATCGTCAACGATTTCTGAGAAGAAATATGTACAACAAGTTCAGCTTTAATTCTACAATTATGACGATACATTCATGTATACAGTCTACAAGCTGACAACTTGCAAAGTTTATTGAACCTTTATATAAGGAAGTCGGAATTATCTTCAAGACTGAAGTTACTTTCACGACAGCCAGGAAAATAACCTACCCAGCATTAATATTACGGGCTTGAGGTATTTTGCTACCGGAGTTTTCGCGTGTTTAGCATTAACCCTCGAAACACGTGGTCACTCGGGTAACTTCGGGAAGCTACGGTGAAGACCGACGATTGTTCTAATATCAAAGACGGCACTATATTATACAAGGTTCCTTTTCCTGCTACACCGGTGACATCACAGCGTGGGTACTCTACAGAATCAAAATGCCTTGTTCTGATTGGACCGCGATGGACAACGCCCTACGCAGAGGTCGATCATAGTTCACAGTTCAAGACTTAGGTTGCAAGTGACAACAATATATCAGTGAACGAGCAAGCCTCCTTACAGTCCAGCTAATCTGAACCTTCATGATTGGGCTGCCTTCTTGAGGTTAGAGACCTCCCCTGTCAAGTAAGGACGAGGACACGGCAGTCAGGCGATTTTTTACATAAAGTTCAACGATGGCGGTCACACTTGGTTGTGCACCTACATCGTCAAGGACTTCATGAGCGAATTTACCTGAGCGACGGGATACAAGTGGATCCAAATCCACAGCGTCTCAGACTACAGGTGAATTTCATCATCAAGCTACTAACACAACTAGATGGTTAGTAAACCTACTTAAGTTGGACCTAGAACCTTCGCAAGATCTGCTAATTCTAGGTTTTTGATTTGTAACGGCGCAGAATCGTATAATTGTACCGGAGACCATGGATCAAGATCCAACAGTCAATTCCACAAGCCTTACTCTCTCCGCTACCACTACGACATTGGCAGAGCCTGTTGGGGTTACGCGACAGGCAGAGGCAGACTACAATTACATCCGTTACAAGTCATCATCAATTAGCATCTAGGCGAATCTCTACCATTCAATTTACTGGTTCAGGTCAAACCTCACCTACTATGGTGGACCAAGAGATCGGATGTTTGAATAAGTCTCCTTAATAGAGCTGGAATCGATAACACTCTCTCGTAGATGTGTCACTACAAGGTTGGGGAGCCCATCTTGCCAACAGGACGACATCAGGGCTATGAGCAATCAAGAGAGCAAATTACACATAAATCTGCTAGAGATGCAAGCAGTGATAAACGCCTTTAATGCACTGGAGCAACTTACTACAGTATACCCAGTGGATGATTCACACAGACAATTCGACAGTGGCGTTTTATGTGAACAAACTAAAGCTCAACCAGGTCCCGAACCTATCGACTCTATGTTGTCAATTGTTCGATTTAATCGACAATCTCAACATACATGTCAGAGCATATCACATTCCAGGAGCAAAGAATGTGATAGCAGACGCTCTCTCGGCCACACATACCATCGCCGACAGAATGAATGCTCCATACAGAGATATTCACACAAATTATCAAGGAAATAGGAACTCCACTAATAGACCTATTTGCCACTCGATTCAACAAACGACTGACAAATTCGTATCGCCAGTTTCAGACCCACTAGCATTGGCAACAGACGCACTAAGCATATCGTGGGAAGGACTCAACGTGTACGCTTTTCCGCCACCAGCGTTAATCTCACAAGTTTACTCAAAATCAGTCAAACGCAGAGCCTCCATCTGAATTTGGTAGCGCCTACTGACCAGCGAGCGTGGTTTCCAACTCTTATTCAAGAAATCGGACAACCAATACTACATCTTACAGAGTGCTCGAATCTGTTAATACATCACCGGAAAGCCAGAAATATTCCAACTTCCATGTATGGATTGTATCAAGGCGTGTCTGAATAACAGGTTATTCAGCCAGAGCGGCGAAAAAGCAGTCTAGCTTGCCCTGCGTAACTCAACTTGCAACTTATCACGATGACAAATGGCACAGTTTTGTCAACTATGCTGCAAAGGAAGGATTTACAGCTAGATATGCTACTCATCCTCAAGTGGCTGACTACTTATGTTATCTACGTCAGACTAAGATTTAAAAGGCTCAGCTTGTCCACCTATCTTGCAGCAATAGCTCTGTCATAACTGAGAACGGGCGTCAAGTTAACCTAAACCCAGTTACTCGCCTTGCTACGAGCTTTCCGATTGGAGGATTAAACGCGGAAGTTTCACGCTCCAACTTGGGATCTGAATATAGTGCTCCAACACCTCACAAGTGAGGTTTATGAACCATTAGAAGATTACGAGAGAACACGCTTTGATGATATACTTGGATACCAGGCCAACCAGACAGGTTATCCCAGCTCTCTCATCTATACTTGGACCTCATGATACGATGGATCTATCACGATGGCCAGTAAGAGCACTGAAAATATATCTCCACCGAGCCAAACAGGAGGAAAAATTCAAGAGATTTATTTCCTCTATCAACAAGCTACGCAGACTGAAGTCTCATGTACTACTATCTCCTTTTAGATCAGAACTGTCATACTCACGTGCCTACAAGACTGCAGGACTCGACCCTCCAAGAGCTTCTAATCCTCATGATATTAGAGCTAACATCTACACTTGCTCTACCACGGCAAGTGCTATTGAAAATACCATAATGGAGGGTTATTTCTGGAGATCCGATATGGTGTTTGCCAACCACTATCTGAGAGATATCACCACCGAGGAGGACGTCTCAGGTATCCACCAATTCGGTCCCATGGTCCTCGCACAACAGTTGACAGTTCTCGAGAAGATAAGTCAATCTTACAGATTTTCTACTTATCTTATAACAGTACTAAATA